GGGATGTCAATTTATATTCTTCGTTATCTGGTCTGATATTAAAACCCCTCGCGGCTCTGTGAAACGAGACGCAGTGGCCACCGGGTCGCCACCGTCTAAGAGGGTTGGCCTTCCTCCCTGCTCGACGGTGGTCGTACACAGAGGGTCGGGAACGAACTTCGTCCGCAGCGCGAAGTACTCGAGGGATACGTGCGGAAAACGCAGACGAATTCGCGGCACGAGTCCGCGCGATAATCGATCGCCAGGACGGCACGGCACTTCGGTGTCGGACGCCTCTCGTCCGACACCGCGCCATTGTCGTGCGTTCCCAAAAAAAAAAAGAACCGCCCAGAGAATCGTTCCGAAAAAACAAAAACCCGTTCGCTGTTTTTTGTCACCGAGGAAGCAGGAAGAAAATGCAATGCGACGACGCTCGGCGCGGCGTGTTGAGCGTCGCGGCGCGGCGCGGCGAGATTCAAAATGTGCCGATTGTATCTGTTGGTGCCAGTGACCCCCTATTGATTCCACGCTCAGCGAAGCACAGACCAGACCCTCTCGTTTCCCACCCTCTCGCCACTCTCTCTCGTTCTCGGTTTCCCCTCTCTCTCTCTCTCCCTCTCTCTCTCTCTCTTTCGCTCTCGCTTTCTCCTTCTCTACCTTTCTCCCCTCTTTCCCTCGCTCTTTCTCTCTCTCGCTGCCGACTCTCTTTCGCCTCTTCGCCACCCTCTCGTTTCCTCGTGTTCGACCACCCTCTGCGCGCCCACCCACCCTCTGCCCTCTTGCTCTCTTACACGGTTACGCGCGATATACCGCCCGCTCGCAGCAGTGTCCCAACACCGGTTTCACCCTGTAGTAGCTACCAGCCGACTAACCGACCGACCAGCCTGGGCGAAAATAATTTTAACTCTGTCACGAAGAGACCGCGTATAATCGACGTCCTACCTGCGGCCGCTCGATGCGGCTGGTATCCCGCACATTGGCTAAGTCGGCCGCTTCTTTCCCCCTTGACACAATGAAGGTGGGATTATTAACGGGGCTAAGCGTTCCGCGTTTGCTTCGTTGTCCTCCTGAAAGCTCCTGGTGAGTCAGGAGACTGGCTTGAAAAAAGTGTCGGAGACTTCAGAGTTCTGAAAGACCTATGAAAAATCCCTGTAGTAGGAAAATACGCCTTTTCTTCCGAGACTTTCAATCAGACTTCTTGCGCGTCTATTGTTCCACGGAAGCCATTAATTTTGTTGCAATATTTTGCGGTACCTTTGAAGTAAACAATTGGCTCAAAGCATATTCTTTAACCGAATGCCTTCTCTCGTGATTTCTCTGTGTTTAATATTAGATCTCTTGGCGATCAAATAGCCGGGTTAACACTCTGTTAAAGCCCGCTTGACGTTAATGAGAATTAAAGTCTGTCATGTACCCGTGCTTATGAATGAACTCTTGCAAAAATGTATGTCTAGTTGATATCAGGTTCTGCTACATTAAACTTCTCGGCTCGTGTAAAAACCACGATCCGAGCGCAGCTAAAAAAAGGTTCGATCAATCATAATTTCAACAGTCCTCGATTTTTCCTTTTTAAATAAGCATCGTTAGTTTTATATATGTGACTCGCGATATGTTACACTTTATATCAGTCACACTCCGTGGAGAGACGCTTATTTTTGCTGTCCCGAGCAGACCCCTTTAAGTTCTTTAAGAGCTACGAGAAATTTGTTTGTGTCCAATAGGAGGCGCCTGTGATAGAGTTCGAAAACAGGAGCAAGTCGATAGTGGCCGCCGGTAGTTTCACTGGAAATCGCACGACGAAGAGTTACTGGGACAGCCAGGTCTATACATATGCCATTGTCCTCCCCCCTCTCCCCGGTCGCTTCGGAACCTGCGTTAAACTGTAGATCGTAGATTAATGGCATAGTAGACTACGTTGAAAATGGAGGAATGAAACCGTTTATAGAGCGTATTCCCATATTTTCAAGGAACCCGTACGCCTCGCCACACCGTTTTCGATCTTTATTACGGCGGCCATCGGTTCATAAATTTGTGGAGAGTACTCGAGTACGCACAGTTGTACTTTATTAGACTATTACCTTTTATGATTCTATGAAGATCGCTAAATTTGACATTCATATAAACGATATGAAAAGTGATGTAAAACTTAAAACTTTTTATGTAAGTCCAACAGAGTTTTGCGGACTCGTAATTAAATGCGATTAAAAGGGAGGTGATGATCAATGATCACACATCTGTGTTTTCGTGCCGGCTACGCGGCGAGAATTACGGACGTTTCTCTTCGGGCAAAATTAGTTTCGTCGGCGCAATCTTCCTCCATTCCATGGGGTAGATGATCACATGTCTTGTCATATACGATGGAAGATTCATGGAGGTCCCATTGTTACATAGGCGAGGCTGGGTAGCGCCGTTCATCCCGTTTCCGCGCCAAGTAAGCGGGAGCGTACTTTTATCACTGTCGGAACGGAACGGAATGCCCGTTCTAAGTTTCTACGTGCATAAGGTCTAGACTCGGTGGCACGAATTATACGCTATTTGGGCCAACGTACGCCGGGCTCGCGTGCTTCCGTAATTCCGGCTGTTTCACATCAACGTCCGGCGGAGAGAGAGTGAGAGGAACCCGATTCTTTCCACCCGAATCACGAAAAACGAGGCGGAACACGAGACACGGATTTCGCGTGGCAAATTCTACTTTTGTAGTCCCACGTACTTTTGCAGCGCATTACATCTCGCATTACGCAAAGTTTATGCGACCGTTTATACGGAATAAATCATGCCTTCTTCAACAGCCATGCGGTACCCGCACTTGTATTATTACGCAAACTTTTTCTTCGCCTACCGTTTTTCCCCGCTTTCAATGGGAAAATTCTCAAACTGGGGAAGAGGGAGGTATATAGAGAGAACTGGGTGCGTGTATAACGGAACGCGGATCCACGGTTCTCTCGTTTAGAAAATGCCACGTGAAACGACCGACGGGAATACGTTACCTGTCGGATGCCAAGCCGCGGCGGACGCGAAAGGATAAATCGAGTTCAGCTATGCGAAACTAATAATGCCGCGTGCCTGTCCGGCGCTTCCCTCGAAACGAGCGCGCCGTTCCTCGCTTCTCGCGCCAGCTACGTGCTTCCGCAAGTGAAGCCGACATATAACGCGCATAGGGGGGTGTGTAATATAAATTAACGAACTTATACGATGTCGCTCGCTCTCCTTCACGCTCGCTCCGTAATTCAACGCTGACTCACGCACCGCAACGCACCAATTGAACGCGTACGATGACTCATGCACGCGTACGGTATCTCCTCCCTTCCGTATGACGAATCGGGGTGTCCTCGAAAAAAGAAGAGAAATTGGAACCGCTGCGTCGCGGTACACGCTTCTCGAGGACTGAACCCGGTTCAGTTCTGGCGCGTTCAATTTCCGGCAGATATGGATACGTTACAGATATACGACAAGTATAAACCTTCGTGCTCGGAAAGCCAAATATTTATTTACAAAGCGAGCAACGACGTCGAGAGTGACTTCGGGGCACTCTCTCTTCCCATTTGCCGTCTGTCCCTCAAACTGAATTCGTAGTTACCTCACACGCGGACCTGAAAATGCGCAACGTCTCTTCTATATTTTTTCGGAGAGAGAGAGCAGGTTGAACCATACAGCACACCGCGCCAACATCGGTGGAGAATTCCGCGTGGGGCGTGTCGACCGCGGAATTTTCATAAGTCCCGTGCGGGAAAACTGCTGTTAATTAAAAGGGTAAAGTTCATCGCGCGGGTAAGGCGCGTTGAGAACTCGACGGGACTTCGCTTCGCATCGGAGTTACTGCATAACAATAAATTCGGCGCGGAAAGTTCGCGACGGGGTTGGTCGGCTGCGCATAACGGGCGTTGCTATATGCTCGAGGTAATAACTTGGAGTTTCGGAATAACTGTTTGCTCGCAAATTTCTCCGCGAGGAGAGGAAACTTCCGGCACTCGTCTGCGCGAAGGATGTGTACGCACGAGCCCATTATGAGATGAAAGAAACTCGCGAGTGGATAATTATTGTCGTGTAATTGGGAATGATTCACCCTCTCGGAATTTCGTGCGAAAATTTCCTACAACTCGCGAGTGACTTTATAATAAATTAAAAAAAAAAGACGAATGCCTTTTACTATGAGAACTTTAAATGAACTTTTTGCATGTATCAAATATATATAGCTTGTGTTGGAAATGTATACCTTTCCAAAAGTCTAACGATGTAAGTTGAGCAATTTTCAGACCACAATGTCTGCAATTGTTTCTCGCAATAATCTCTTTCGGATAATCTGTCCCCGATAACTTTGGGCGCGCGAGAAACCAACCAACGGCCGCTCATTTGGACGTATCACGGTCTCTGTGTCTCACTCCGCGGCCCGTGTACATCACTGACCGACCCAACCCTAGCGGGCGCGGTGCTTCAATCCCCTTTGATGGCTCTGTATGAAGTATTGCTCTCGCGATGTCGCGCACACGAGTGGCGGCGCAAGTGCAATCTCGTTATAGAGCAAAGGAAAGAACGAGATTTTTCATTCGCATATACAGAAAGAGCGGTTTGAAACTGCAGCGGTACACACATTTCGACGGATGACCTCTTTAGATACCACGAAATTGATCTTCCTCTACGGGGGATTTAAAACTAGCGGTGCGAATCAGCAAGAAATACGTTAAATGTCTCGATTGTATTCGAGATATTTTTAAAAGAAATATTGTCTCGATCTCCGAGACGGAAAATGCGCGTACATCATCGGACATTTTACATGACACACGTGCAGGCAGATATAGGGATGTTTGCGCGAGACGTTGAGGAACACGAGGAGAGATCGCTCGGGGAGATCCCGCTATCTCTCTCTCTCTCTCTCTCTCTCTCTCTTTCTCTTTCTCTCTCTTTCTTTCTCTCGCCTCGCCTCGCCTCGTCCGGTATAACTTAAAATGAACGCGCGAATGTACGTCGCATCTCATCCACGCCGCGTTTAACACCGCGAATTCCTTTCTCTGGTGTGCCCGCAGAATGGACATCCTGCTGCGAGACATGAACGCGCCGTGGCGATGACAAGCCTGATCTTGGAGAACGCCGACTTGAATCGACTCTTTCCGAAATGCCGGCCTAGGGGCGGCCCACCCCCGGCCCCGGGGGCCTCCACGCAGAGCAGCCAGCAGCCGCATGACAGCCCCTGCCAGACGGAGGCCGCCGCTATCACCACCGCCGCCACCGCCGCGACCGCCGCAACAGTCGCTGCCACCATCGCCTCTACGAACACGTCGACGAGCGCCTCTGCGATATCGGACGACATGATCGACCTCGAGCGCGATACCTCCGACAGGCAAGTTAAACCGATTTACCGAAGGGGGGAAAGAGGGGAGGAGTACCCGAAGGGTCGGGATCGGGTTAATCGGGGTAGCTCCGGAAGTACCGCGGGAAAAAGCCGGCGGATAACGGTGATTCGAGTCTAATATTCCAGTAGACGATCTAATATACGTGTCTGAAATTGACGTCGGTATTTTAAAACCCGTTTCACGAAGCAGAAGGGAACAGAAAATTTATATACGAAGCACTAAGTGCGCGCGAAACAATGTTATGTAATTGTAATTTTCAAACAGTATACTTTTCATATCTCTTTTTAACGTTCTCATAACGAGCAGGATATTAGTGATATGCGAACAATTTTATTCCTGCGTACATTTTTATTATGCAATTATTTCCATCTAACGTCTTACGCGAAATTATAGGACGGTTAATTACGTAATTGAGGAGCCAGATGGGGCACAGGCGTGCGGAAATAAAGATGAAAAACTGCGTCGGGAGAGGAAAGTAAAAAGTAATTAGATTTATACGACGAATATACGTCGCACACTTGCGAGAGAGTAGATCTTTTCCGCCAACTATTTAGATAATTCCAAATTTTTGGAGAAACAGGACGAAGTCGCGTTACACCCTCGTCCCATCGGACTCCTCAGTTAACGATAAACAATAACGCGCTGTCGATTCCCACCACAAAACGATGGTTCGGGAACTCGTTTCTTCTTTTTCTTTCTTTTTAAATTGTACTCCCTCTAATCGATTTGCCGATTGTTAAGAGTGCCAAGTTACGTTCGTAGGTATAGGAAACGAGCGAATGGCAGAAAAAAATCAGGTTCGCTGTCCCGTAGGACGGCGAGCGTGGTGCCCGGTTTCACGGTCGAGGGCCAACTGCCGCACGCCACGAAGCCGCTTTCGTCGAGCTCCTCCTCGGCGTCCGGACGCAGCGAGGATGCGCCGCAATACGGTAGCCTGCCGGGTAGCGATCATCAGGGACAATCGCAGCAGGACGACAGCGGACCCGAGGGAAGCCCCGTGTACATTTTGACCTCGACCAAGGGAGGCCCCAGCTACAAGCTTCGGGATTCAAGGTAATCGAGAGAATCGTTTAACGTTTCGTGGAAATGTAATTAACTCTAGAAATATCGACGGTTTCTCGGTTCTATTTATTACCAACGGAAAGATTAATACTTTACGAATATACGAATATATCGCCGCTATTTTAATCGACGCACTTTGGGGTGTTCACGAAAATGTTATTGTAAAATATCTTTTACACAAAGTCGTTTTTTTCAAAATTTAAGAAAATATGAGACTTTGAGTCCAACTTTCAGTGAATATATAAAGCATCTTCTATACATACATCTTTATAGCTAAGGTGAATATAAAAGTTGACTAACTAAATATCGGAGAATTGAGTTAATATAATTATTCCAAAATAAAATTCGCGATTTATATTGCACTATTCACCATTAATAAATCCATATTTATCATCAATAAACCATGTCAATCAATTCGGCCTGGTATTTTTAAAAAATTAGACGACGAAAATAAAGCGCGAATAGTAATAGCGCAAATCAAAAGTGCTGTAAATAAAGGTCACAGTTTTCAATATTTATAAAAACTGAATGAATTAAAATAGAAATTATGAAGTTAATTGAGGGGCGTTCGAATTACCGAGTTAAACTGTTAAATCGCACGGCGGAGGAATCGATAACGGGCAGCGCGGAGGCCGACGTGTGCAATGCGAACACTTGTGTACACGCAAAAGTGTGTTACGTGTCGTATCGCGACGTTAAATTCGAGCGGTTCGCTCGCGATGAAACGTGTGTCCGTCGTCACGATGAAAGTCCATTTGACGTACGGTCTTTGTGTATCTACGGTGGACACGAGCGCCCGGTTTCGATATCCGATACAGTTTCTACAGAGGTTTCCACAGTGCGCCCGGACACAGAGCGGCGATTCCCGCGCGCGCCATGTCCATGTATATTCAACGGGGCGTTAATTTTAAGCTTAATACCGACGATATACTCGGACGGAAATGTCACTCAAATATCAGCCTGCTCTCTCTTCCTCGCGACTGGCCGTTAATGTGTCGCGCGGGCTGTTCCAATGTACCTTATAGGCAAACAAGTCAATATGTCCGCGACAGTGTAATCCGTCCGGCAAATATTTTTTTCCTCTCTCTCTTTTCCCCTTGCGTGGTTTCTCGCGAAACATCTTCGTCGTCGGCAATAACATCGCGCGGCTTGCACTCTACGACTTGCAGCGAAGTCGCGCCAGTTTTTCATTAAAGGGGGTTGAAATTCAACTTCAACTCGTTCACGTCCGGTGACCTAGCGCGTTTAAAACGTTGCATTTCTGGAATGGTGAATGTTGAGTCATTAGGTTCAAACACGGTTCATTTTGAAGGGAATTGCTTAAATTCTAATTAGTCTAATTAACAAATATTACGATAAGTACTATTATTAAGTGTTAGGAGTTATATTATTTGCAATACGTATCCTTTTTTTTAAATGATAAATAATTTATTAACATCAAACTTACAGCGATTGAGAAGGACCAAAATCTATAATCGAAATGTTGTGACGGTTATAATTGACCAAAACCGATGGTCGAACTATCACGACAATTACAATTAATAAAGATGATTGTAAGTCGAATAAAAAAAAAATTTATTGTTAATCATTTACTAGCGAAGTAAAAGTTTCTGATTTTGATTTGTTTGCGTAGCGTGATCCAAAATTTCTCGGATTAACTGGATTCGCATGGCGTTTCAATGTTATCTTCGCGCGTGGCGATTATTCAAATACTCGAATATTATAAGTATTATAATTAATTTCTCGGATTATTCGGGCCGACATTATATGCGTCGCCCTGTTTAAGATGTTTAAGATGTAAGAGCGAAATATTTAAGTTTCTTGTAGTTTCGTGCATGGTATAAAGGAATAGCAGCAGTTTTACTAGTTAATACTTGCGGAAGTGCAATACGATATTTTGCGATACAAATTAGGCCGGAAACTTTCGGCCGCTTTTGGCCCTTATTATACGCGGTTCTCATCAATATGCGTTTCGTTACATATTTTATTCATTTTGCCTTGTACGTTAAATCTTTACTTTACGGCCTTAAAAAGTCTCGCTACATTGGAATTTAGAGATATTTTGTTTTTTTTTTTTGCCATTGGCGATCCGTTATTTTAGACTTTCTATGGTTTAATACCATTTTTTCGTATTCGGCGACCCCAAAAAGCCTGTCGCACACAATTTCAGTAGAAGTTGAAAATATTTTTTGTATATACAATATATTTTTTTTGTACTCGCCACTATGAATTTTTATGTTTGGATTTTGTTTTTCGTATATCCTTCAAAAACTTCCGAAAATAATCAAACTGGATCGAAAAAGGTCGGACGTGAAAGGATTAAAACCGCTCAATATTCACGACACGTATTCGGCTATATAAAACCTACGTATCTTATCGAATTTTGTTCCCCGAGGGCGCACGTAGTAGTTAGATGAAAATACCTTAATATTTTCGTGAACGAAGGCATCGTCGCGCGAGGAATCCCTGGCGCGGTATCGGGCTTGTCATTACTAATCGATTGGCACTCGAAGCGGCCCGCTTATCGACAATGATAATCCGTACGTAGATAGGCGCACGAGAGCACCTACCTTTTATTCTCCCGATATTTTCGTAATTCGATCCGTATTTGCTCGGGCGCAGTCGGAGACGCGTTACGCGGATAACCCGATAATTTGAAAATTATCCCGTGAAGTTGTCGATTTATCGGGCGAAACTTGACGCGCCCGGCACAAGTTTCTATTTCCCCGCAATACGAATCAGGAGTTTAACTGCCCAATAAGCAAACTGCCCGCGGTATATGACAACAGATTGGCAGCAGATTTGCTCGGATATCACAATAGATTCCAGTATATCATCTGTATTAAACTCGTATTTCTCGCCGACAGAGCCTGCCGACATAATCTGACGGTATACAGATTGTCGGCGGAATCTGAACGGAATCTGTCACTTAATTCGTTAACACCTAAGGGCCAGTTTCACAAGTGTCGGTTAACTTTTAATCTTAGATTAACTTACTCTTCGTCTTTTTCTAAGGGGGACATTAGAAGAAGACGAAGAGTGAGTTAATCTAAGATTAAAAGTTAACCAACACTTGTGAAACTGGGCCTAAGAGATGGAATACATCGTTTAAATGCTCACGAAACGACAGATTCTCAGTTTCTACGGTCAATCTGCTATTACATATATATTGTTAGCAAATACTGTCAGATTTCTGCTGACGTTCTGTCGACAAAATTTCGTAGCGGGGACCATTTGAAAATCTGTTCTCGACAGATTCGACTATCCAAGTGAAGTTGCCGATATGCGATTTTTTAAATCCGCGAGCTCACCCGACTCCCATTTCGCTGACGTGCAAAATTCGGCTCGTCTTCATTCAAAATGTTTCGAAATTCACTGTCGTGTACATATTTTTAACAAATAAAGTAAAACGTGGGCTTTGAGAGTACAACGCAGTTGACAGTAAATTAACGTTATGACAATCTTTAATTACTAATAAGATACAATACATGATTATAAATCGGACAGCGATGCAATATAACAATTTAAAAAATCCAAATAATCAGCAGTAGATGATATATATAGCAACAGTACTTACCATATTGGATGGTCCAAAAATAGTATAATTTTCCCAAACAAAAATATATTGTATTATTGGCCAAAATTTCACTTGGATTTTAATATATGTATTATTAGCCAGAATTCCACTTGGATTTCCTTAAAATCCAAGTAAAATTCTGGCTAATAATATATACTCTTGTTTTTCTAATACAAGAGAGAAGAGGGGGAGGGGGAGTCTGTTCGTGGCTCGGGGCCGCGGTCGCGGTCGGTCACGATTCGTCGCTGACGTTGCTCGACGTCGGTTCCGTACCGTAAATCGTGGAGGAGATAAGAGGCCGCCGGAGTCGTCGGGTTCGGAGTCGCTCGAAGAGGCGACGGGAGCGCTCAGATGGGCGCCACGGGAATTAAACGAGCTTAAAAGTCGCGCCCGTTTTCTCCTACGTAATCCTGTACGTATACACGCATACGTCCCCGCACGCCTCGTGAAACGTCTCGCCGTGATCCCCCGCGCCCAGCGGACCCGATGAACATTTTTCAATAAAGCATTCCAGGTGCAACGGCGGGCGGTATATTACTCCGAAGACTGATAAATTGTGCGTGAGGCCGGGCTCGGTCGAGAACGTCGGCCTCGTTATTTAGATGCAATCGTGGCGCGTGCCACGGGGCACCCCACGCGGCCCACGCGCCAGCTTTGGGGTTAACTCCGCCTGTCACGTACGAGAGTTGAGTTACGTCTCGGTGGCTCGTTTACCTGTCCCACGTGCGCGACTCGACGACTCGCGACGGAACGAATGTCGCTCATCGGGACGATACGACGTGGCGCAAACATTGCCCTGCGTCGGTTCTGACATCGAGATTTGTAGAACGCTCCCCGTATATCCGAGCCTGACGTAGATTTATAGATAGAAATGAGCTCGCGTGGAATATTTTCTACAGAGTGTATCCATAAGTCATCTGTTTTGAAAACTGCTTTGAACGTTGAAACATATTGGAAGGATTCGATGGTAAGAGTTCCGGGAGCGAAAACGAGTCCTTGCGGAGTATTAATCCCATGCGTGAGCGTCAGTAACTTTGACAGGCATTAAGCTTGAGTGTGATGAGATGAGAAAGAATCAATGTATAATTTAAGGCTGTTTTGTAGTTGTCAAAAATCATCACGAGTATATGTAACAGCTCTTGTATTGTTCCACAGAATTATAGAAATCGCCGGTGGCCGAGAGGTATTCTCGCAGAGCCGAGGGAAGGTGCCAGCTAGAAAGTCGCGATTTCTGGCTGCGTCCAATTCCATAAATAACGAGGATATTCAGACTGATAATAAGCTGTCTGTTAAGAAGAATAACAAGTCCCCTAGCTCGCAGACCATATGGGAGTTACGAAGCCGGTAATTAAATCTGTATTTGATCAGCTGAAAAGACTTGTTGTACTCTGTCCATAAGGTTCCAACTGAATTACCGTTGATTTTTCAGATGCGGTGAAACCAGAAAGCAACGCGCAAATCGAGAAGTGACGGAGACCGTGTTCGCCTCCGAGGTGCACTCGGTGCGACGTAACGCCACGAAATCCATTCTCGATTACGACTCGCCCAAAAGCAACCGCAGCGGTCGCATAATTAATTACGATTCAATCTTGAATAGCAATAATGTAGAGTATACCGTACCGAAAAGTATTACCGACCTCGACTATGGATTACCGAAGAGCTGCGTAGACTATCAGTCGAATCACAACACCCCCGCGAGAAGCATGGCTATTGTCAGCGACGGCGAGGTTGTGGTATTCGACGATATCGATGACAATTGGCAGGGGCTGCGACTGGACTTGGCGTCGAGCAATACGAATCAAGTTTCGACGACGAGTCTAGATTTGGAGATAGACGATTCACAGAGAGGTCGTGTCGCCCCCGAACCGCCGAGTTCCAGCGTTGGAAGTACTCCTAGTCCTACGACGGCATATCATCGCAATACTTCGGAATTTTTCAAAGTAATATTCAGGAGAGGGGGCAGAACATTTATTGCATAATTTGCAGAGAACTTTACACAAGTGTATGTAATTTTTGTAGGTTGTTACGCCAGCGAGCGACTGTGAGGTAGATTCTCCCTCCCCAGAACGTAATCATAAAGTTGCAAGAGTAATTGGTGAATTACCAATCGCTCAATATTCTGGCAGCCCGAGACGTTATGGAGTTCGCGAAAATACACAGCTCCCTAGCTTATTATCATCACCTTCAATGTACATGACACCGAGACCTGGTTTCCCGCAAAGAGTATTGCCAACGACACCAAATCACAATGAGGTAAGAAAATATCATTTATGAAATTATATTGAGTGGCTTAACAGTGTACCTAATACTTATCTAATACTTGTTATCTTATATTCCAAGAAGGAAGATACTTCTGCAGAAATCGTAGTAGACAAGACTGTGATAGAAAATATTAGCACAGAAGATCAGCCTATAAATCCTTCATCTCCATCGCCAAAGGCCGAGGAGGAAGAGGAAGACTCTTTAAAACCGTCGACTTTGCCTGCTGATAATATAAGCAGTCTTGTCTCGCCGGGAGGCAGCACCTTCGACTACCTGTACGAATTTTCAGAAACACGGAAAGTGCTAGAAGAATTCTTCAAATGCCCGGCGCCGACGAAAGAAAAGGAAAACAATATAGAGTCCTTTCCTTTCCAGGTAAGTCTGCTGAAGCAGCAAAAATTCACAGATATTTACGAGATGTTTTTCTGTCACGGAGATATCTGGAATAAATAACATGAGAGTTTATAATTAGAGAAATACATTTATAATGATTGGCGCTTTTAAGAAAAGTCTGTGAAAATCTAAGGATATTTAGAGGACACATGCATGCATAATATATACGTAATGAAGAACAAATTAAAAACTTGTATATTGTAAATGACTAACACACTATTTTCTGTTGCAAGGATCTTGATTATGAATTACGAAGGCAAGGTGGAAGTGCGTATGTTGGTCAGCGATTAGCTAGTGGCCCACCCGCAACGGAGGAGGTTATGGTACATGAATCTCCTAAGAAGCAACGGGCCGAATTTCCACAAAATGTAAGTATATGACAGTATATGAAGCAAGAAACATTACCTTGACAATTTTATTTTTTTTTCCTTATTTGAAGAGCATTAATTTCGTTTCCCTTTGTGTCGGTAAAGTTTAACATGAGATTAATAATGTTTATTTATGTATTATAAACTTGGATGCAATAAAAAAAAGTACTTACAATGTAAATATTACGTTTTTAACAATTCTGAAGTATTAATTACCAATATTTGGAAATTATATTATTCCCAGTAGTCACATAGGTTCTAAATATATATCGATATTTATAGATACAGTTTTTAAGCTACACTGTGTGGTCGCTTAAAAGGCTTTCCATGCTTGCATCACTAATTGCGGTATTGCGAAACAAATATTTACACTTGGCTTTTTCTGCTTTTTTTAGACAGGTGAACACGAAAACAATTTCCTGGATCTCTCAGTAGGTACTGGCAGCAGTGAAGATCTTGGTGAGACTGAAGTCGGCTTACAAGTGGGACACTCACGTAATTTTACATTGAGCCCCGAGACGACCGACTGCGACAGCAATTGCGGCGACTTGGACAGCGAGGTATCCCTCATGATGATGGATAATGAATTGATGCCAGCAAGTGGCCTTCTCGGATCGGTCGGCGATTTGGGGAATAATTCGGATTCTCTGAGAATATACACTAGCATGCCGGTGTTAGAAGACGGCCTGTCTAGTGGACACGCGAGCGATACTGACAACAATAATCCTACTGTGATGCTCATGAAACGGCAAATAAACGAGATAGAGAAGGAGATTATACAGAGAACTCGTAACGACATGTTAGGCACGAATGAGAATGACTCCGGGAAGGACGTTAGTCTAAACGTAACAAAGGATATTTTACACTCGTTGAAGACTACGTCCCCTGATCTGTTTATCGCAAAGAAGGAAAATTCGTACGACACGAATGAGCTGCAGCTCGATGGATTGGATCCACTGGGCACACCGCCACCACCGGCACCTCAAGGACGGCAAAGTGTATCTTTAGAAGTAAACTGTGGCGAGGTGGAGGCGGCCATCAAAGATATCAGAATGGCTCTGCAAAGGACTAAAACTCTACCTGTGAAATCGCCATCGGAAGAACCACCGGAGCCGAGCGTTAGTCCGATATGGATACCAAGGTATTTTATGTTTTGTTTCATGCGGATAAGGGTATTCCAATTGTTGAAATTTGTCCAATATGTTGCCTCGGTACTGTTTTGCTTACCACTGTAAACGTTCCCCTTTTACGACATTGAATATACGTTTGGGATACCCTTTTGGGATTACCTCTGTGTTGCGTGTAAACGCATCTAACTAAGATGCAGTATAATGGATGGCAGGCGGAGAATCTGTATGGAAAGCAATAGCGAAGAATCTGATGCGCGTCGTATAGGTGACGATGCCGATGTGGAAATTGAGGAATGTCCAGACGAGGAGGAGGCGGATACCGATCTTGAAACGGATCGGTTGCTCGGACAACAGAGAACGGATGATCAAGGATTTTACGACGATAAGGTGGGCATACTTAAAATGTCGTTCTATATTATTCTTATTCATCACTTGTTATAACGATGTATCCTATTTCCTCAATAAGGATGTTTAGGCTAAACTAAATAAGTTACGGCACTTGTGACAATACATCATATACACGCACTCTCTTTAACACAACTTCCTACTAGGTAATATTGAGACGGTGCTAATGCGTTTAAATTCAGGGGGAAAAAAGGATACGAATAATCTACATTTTCCTGTATTCTGTGCGATTCGATGGTATCGGTGTTCTACTAATATCGTCTTGGTGTTATGCAGGGGTGGAGGAAGCCTAAGACTAGGACTATGTTACCACCAATGAATGCGAAAGTCGCTACTCCAAAGCAAACCCCTCCCAAAACATTGAGTGTCGCCCCGATAGAAACGCTAGCGCCTTCCGAGCCCATACCCTCGACGTCTGCCTCGATCTCCCCTCCTCCTGTAGTGTCTGTTATACAATCGTCGTCTTCTAACGAGTGCGAAGTAGCCACTCCCGCGCAACCTACATCGAGTCCGCAGAAGACCCCAGTCAAAAACTCCCCCTCATCCCCTCAGAGCCTCAAGGAATCCAACAACAAGGTGAAAAAGGTGCCCTTTCAAATGCTACCACGGAATCTGTTTTACTATTAGTGACTATAGATATTTATTTTCTAGTGTGCTTGCGGTAAAATAGCACATGTTGGTGCATGACAGTACTATCCTTCTGTTGCTAAACGAGATATGTACTAATCAGCTTAAATATAATTTACATTATCATCTATTAATCTCCCAATGCGTTTTCTAATGATAGAATATAGATATTTGATAATTATCAGAACGTTATTTATAATTCCCATACAAGTTTTACGATGATAGTCTTCATAATCACTAAAACAATAATAATAATTCATAATAATGATAATAAAATAAAATATTTTTTATTATATAGTTGAAAAATGTTTAAGCTGATTCTTTTTAAGAGAAAAGGTACTTTTTTTTATCTTATTGCTTTAGTTTTCCTTTATGGCTTCCGCTTATTATGCTTATTTTAATGTATAACAGAAACATCGTTAACGTATTTATAAAAATATCGCATACTAGATTATTTCGTATCCACAAATAGTGCAATGATAAGGAAATGCTTTATATAGGTTGATTTTTAATTATATGTGCTTTAAAGGAAAAACCTAAAGACTGAAACAAGAAAAAAAATGTGATATGAACATAAGTTGTTTATTTATGTATTATATAACATTTTTTCTTGTTTAGGCTATAAATTCATACTCCAAAAAATTAATATTTAATTAAGAATAGTTCATACTTTTTTTCTATGCTTTATAAAACAAAGCAAGTGTTATAATATGTTGCTTCGCAAAAGAAAAGGATTATAAAATTGCGATAGCATTTAGCGTCTATTCTATTTTATTACTATTATTATTACTACTATACTATAATTGTTACCACTATTGTTTCTAGACGTAAATATAGGGACATGTTAATGTTTATTAGCTTTCTTACATGGCAGTTTCTGCATGGTTAGCACATCCTACAGCTTTAAATGATTACGTACATGATATTTACGAGATTTAATTGCGAGCGTATTTATCAAAGCTTTATCTATCTATGGTATCAAAGTGCATTATCTGTCTTATTTTTCAGGATAAGGAGGGAAAGAAAAAGAGCAGAAACAAAGAAGGTATTGTCGCATTTTTATTCATACAATTGTTATTCTTGTATTCCGTAACGATTTTCTAAATATCAAAGTATTATTAATGTTATGATGCTAATATAATATTTCTCTTTCTATTGCTTGCTCGGATGTATATAATAAATTCGTCATCCGCTTCTAATCATTATTTTATGGTAGGTACTCTCTTCATATGTGCAAATTTATATTTTTTAACAATTAGAGTACAGTACAAACTTGCGAATCCAGCACTTCGATAATACAATGACACTATTCAATAATCTGGCACTATCGCGAGCTTCCACGATTCCTTGGACAAGAGGCAAGGGGGCGGGTTTACGTATATTGGTTTATCTACTCATTAGTGACTGACGACTGACTGTGTCGCCTACGTAACATTGTTTAAGCCTTCGCGAAAATAAATTGCCACTATTCTAATTTTGTTTGGTTTGTTGTAATACGCGGGGCAGTCTCGCGCTGCGCGTGTACTTGGTGCGAGACACTACCGTGTCTCTTGATTTTAGAACAGTTTTAAAATACTCAATTATTTTACCTCCTCTATTCCTTACATTCCAGTGGTCCGGTAAATCCATTAATCCGACACAATTTGGTTTTTAATAGTGCCGGATTAGCGAGATTGTACTGTATATGCTATTACACTATTACTGTATTATTAATGATAGCTGTAACTCAAAATCAATATTATTTACTGCACAATATTACTTAATGCTTTTATAGTATTTCTTGATAATCTAATGTTTCCATCTTGTGCATGTGTAACTCTGCTTTTAACACGTGCAATATGTTTTATCAAGGTGTATCTCTAAATTTATTATATGTACGTATATGTCATCTGCAGATCACGCTCAGAGATTTCAGATATTTACATTCCTCTATTTGTACTCCTCGATAAGGTTACCAATTATATTGATAAGCAGTGTATTGAGGAGTCTCATAAGTGTCATAATCTTTTAATGTGATGTGACTGTGACTGTTTCAATTGTGTACAATCTTTTCTCGTGCTTATATACGTATTGTAAATTAAATAAAATTACACACGGTGTAATTTCTATGTGAATAATAAAACAGAAAAAAAACAGTTGATCTAATCGCGAGAACAACAGGATTACAAAATCAAGGATTTTATAACTTCATTAAAAATTATATCGTTATGTGATATGAAGACTGCAATGTTAACTGAAGCTACAAACGACATGGAACAAAAGTATCCATTACTGGATACAATCATGTCATCTGTTAGACTGCCTCAATGTTCTTCTGAGCACTTAGCCGCCCTCGGCACACTGCACTATAAGACAAATGGGATAAAAAATCCTAAATGGTACGTGTCTGTGTCCCTTTCAGACTTGTTGGATGATCCATCAGTGTTGATCGAGGGTGTCTTGTTCCGCGCGAGATACTTGGGATCAACGCAATTGGTATGCGAAGGTCAACCGACGAAATCGACTCGCATGTGTCAAGCAGAGGAAGCCGTTTCCAGAATAAAGGTACATATGTATATGGCAACGCACTTCTTTTTATTTTTATCTCAGAACTGAGGCATACTATTCCTCTTGAACTGGTATTTTATACGTCAATTGCGAAAGATATGTATATACTATTATATACAGATATGTGTATATAAAAAAGCACAATATACATGATATATATATATATACATATATACATATCTCATGTACAAATAGAACTTGTATATGAGGACACTTTTTTTCTAAAGATTTTTGCGAAGCATCGAAAAAAGATTATGGAGTACAGTATGAATTATTAAGTGCAATGTAAATCATTCAACAGCCACGTATATTTTCTTAGAATGTTTGTTCTTAAAAGCAGTAACTACTAATTAAGTGAGCATATCGCGATATTTGATAGATAATGCATCCACATGATATGTTGTGTTCTGTTTAGGTCAGTAGCACTAAGTTTGGAAGACACATTATATAGACCAAATACAAATACGTTTACACATTGGCTAAATGTCTCAATTGTTGACTTTCTACTGTTGAAACGAAAATAAAAAAAACATTAGAAAATCTGTTAGAGAGTAAAATCGTTTCAAGAACTATTAGAATTAAACTACGAATAACAATAACGAAATTATATAGCAGCATGCTCTGATTGCTTTATACTATTTTAATTTGCTACTTAATTTGTAGTGAATAACAGTGCAATATTTTTATCTGCAATAATGTATTTCAATGTTAAGGTTTTTAACTTTTTGAGGATTTTTAAAACTTGCCATTTCCTTTCGATGTAATCACGAAATAAGTACTGTAAGATATTCCAAATAACATATCTATAACAATCATAAGAGATTTGCGGATTTCGAAACGCTTCTTTACCAAGTATAAAATATTTCAGTGTTATATTATTTTGAGACTTTACCTCATTAATTTACCTCAAATAGTTAAAATGCTGGAATCTTAAGTGATTAGTTAAACCTGAGAGTTTCCTGCAGGAAAGAGTACTGTCCAAATCGTGTTTTAAGACTCGTTTGTACTTCAGTTCTATATATGACAAATATATGTATTGCAAAAAGGACCATAGACCATAGTTGACCAAAATACTCTCCTTAGAAACTAGTACATATCGTGTTTATAGTGTACCCATTATATTTCCGTTTACATAGTCGATATTTTTATCGATAAAGTACAATGTACTTTCTTCTTTTATTAGTTCTTATAGTTTATGATATTGATCAATCTTACGAGGAAACTGTCAATATTAAGCAGACAAAACAGTAAATTCTTTCCTCCTACTCTTAGGTTCTGCTCATGGGCAATTAAACGTCAGCATTTAGATAAGATAGACCTTCTCTCGATCTGTAATAACCAATTAATAGTTATCTTTTTTACGCAGTTTTTTTTGCCATCGTCTGAGACGACTCGAAAGAGAGAGGAATCTCTAAATGCTGATTTCTGTCTACCTATCTGATAATTAATCTAAATATAACTGTGAACTGGCCGTTGTGCAAAGAGGCCTGAATGTTTCAGTGTAGCGCCCCCCTTCCTCACATCACCAACACCACCACCACCACCTGACCACCGAACACTGTCATCTTCTCAGTGTAACTTTTGATGTGATTTCTGTATGTCTGTCAGTCTTTCTTTCTCTCTTTCTTTTTTTCTTTGCGAATATTTGGGTTATATATCTGCTGTCCGCTTGCTATGTCCGCTTTCCCGTAGATTCTTGATCAACTTTACGCACAAAAGATCCGTGTCACTCACGGGAGCTATTGCCCTACTCACAATCAGTAACTACGTTCTCAACTATGCAAAAAATCCAACAAAATTACTGTACAACTGGTCGATAGAGAGGAAGAAAACTGGAAACGCGCGAGAAACCAACCTAGATGCAATATAACACACGGCTCTGTTTTAGGCAAATTTCTGGGAAGTTGCAAGAAATTTCATAGAATATTCATCATAACTTCAAACTTCAAAGAGATGTGATATCTGATTATAGCGAATCGATAGCCCGGTGATATACTACGATATTCTGATATGACAGTATCCTACAAGATTGAGCGTAATTAGTCACTTATATACATTCGTTCGTTCAATCTGATTTTTCAAGAATATAGATCGCTAAATATTTTTTTTCTGATGCCTTATTGTTGCATGAAGTGAGATTTTATATAGTTGAGTTGAGTAGATCAGGATTGCGGTTTTTTTTTATCGTTGCAAGAATATCTTGGTTGCAAAATTAATTGCAGGAATTAAAATAGAAATTATGTTTTCACGATTGAATATCCATTGTAAAAATAATTTCTAATTTAAAAAATTGATAATATTAAGAGCAGGAGTTGTAATACTAATCAGTTCTTTCAATAGTGTATGCATGATAATTGCAAGGCTGCTAAAGCTACGCTCTGATGTAGGCAGTGTAAATAATGAGAGAATATTGAGACTAAGATTTTGAAGAGTTTATACTTAATAGTCTGCTAAAATTTCTAGATGATTAATATCTCGTTATACATTGATGTAGCTTTTTAATAAGCCAAAAATTCGTGCTTACTTCATGCTTTTGAATAGCGCCAACAAAAGAACTTTACTCACGCTTGCAAGTAGATTTGTTTATATTTGCTTACGAAAAGACACTTGGAGTCAAAATTATTGTTACGGAGAATAATAATTCTATGTGTGGTCAATTGCTTGTATTTGTATTGCTCGTTTTCGCGGTGACAAAATTAGAAAAAATTGGCTGATCGAAGAAACAAGAAACACGATTGCTCATCGCGAGCCTTACCGTGCTTCGAGTTCTGAGTTGCTGGCTAAACACCTAGAGACTTACAGCCAAACATGCAGCGTCCGCTATCAATACGTTCTTAAATTACAACAATTACAGCGGATCCGCGTTTGCTCGTCCGTACCGACATTACCATTCTGTACTGTAACTTAACATAACGCTTGCACGTTGCACAGCTTCCAGACACCGTGAGCTTGTCCGAAGGCAAAATTGCATAATGAAGGTCGCATCGTGTGCCAAAGTATATGCTACCGGACTAATGCATTTATATATGTGTGAATGATTTGATCCGGCATACGATATAGAGGTGACACACAAGCATGACACACTGTGCATAAGAGAAAAGTAAAGCCGTATTTGGTATAGCAACTCAAGAACTCATGAACATTGGCTCTTTTGCCTCTCGTTCTGTCGGTGGTGCGTGGCAATGTGACTAGCAGAGCCTTTGTTTGTTTGTTTGTTTGGCGCGTACATAACGGAAGGATGATGGGCCAGTGCCGATGCAGGCAACACTCTTAAACTATGGGGGGCAGCATGGGTATGGTCGCTGCAGCATTGCCTCGCAAGGAAGCCTAGAGGAGGACGAGTGCGACTCGAGCGAAGAACTTATAGGAAGCGCTTCTGGTGGGGGCCAGTCCGAGTCACAAGCGCTTGGGGCCCAGCCGAAACTGGCCCCGATCAGTGGCTGCTTGGGGCCCACAACCGTTTTCAGACTACAGTTTCTTGGGTCGGTGGAGGTGGAAGAGGAAGGGGGCCGTAAACGGCGTAAGCGCCTTAAGAACCACATGGTGGAGGAGGCTGTGACAAAAATAAAGGTCCGCCCTCATTGCCCTTCATCCCAGACAACCACCCCTTTCGCTGTTAAATCCGAGTGACTGCCCTTTGGCTCTAACAAGAGCAGTCGTTCGACCGTTTCATCCCTCTATTGATTTATATAACACCGACGAGGGTCAAACCTTCTTACGGCCATTTCATCATTACGGCTTGACAACTTTATTTTATTCGGCCCACAAAACCCGCAGCAATTTCCCATAATATGCACTTTTCAGTTACGATACTCATATTACCTGCGTACACATGCACATTCTTCATAAATCATAGCGACGAGTCTCTTGCAAGTTAAATGTTGCGTCAAAGTTAGGCGACTTTTGTCTCTCAAACTCTCAGGTTTGTGATAGCGCCGTTAATGATTATGCTCAACTTTATACAGTTTTTACACTATCGTGCACTATCTTATTTTACTAGAAATTAAGCGTTATGTGTGTTTAAAATATTAATATTATACGTATGTATCATATACACATATATTTTTAATTAATTACTTGTTTATCTCTACTTTGTTACACATGCTGCTTCCTTATGATAGGCGCTGGTACGTATATTCTGTGTGAAATGTATAGGACATCCGTGGTAATGCAACATTTTTCTAAAAAAAGATATGTGTTGTGCTTATTCAGGCACCGGACGGTGACACTCAGCCAAGCACGGAGGTAGACCTCTTCATCTCGACAGAGAAGATCATGGTTCTCAATACTGATTTGAAGGAGATCATGATGGATCACGCGTTACGCACGATTTCGTACATAGCGGATATCGGCGATCTGGTAGTGCTAATGGCACGGCGTCGTTTTGTGCCGCATGAAATGGAAGAAGTACCGAAGATTAACCGAACTCCGAAGATGATATGCCACGTTTTCGAAAGCGAGGAGGCTCAATTTATAGCACAAAGTATCGGACAAGCATTCCAAGTAGCTTACATGGAGTTCCTAAAGGCAAATGGGATAGAGGATCATAGCTTCGTTAAGGAGATGGATTACCAGGAGGTGCTCAATTCGCAGGAGATATTCGGCGACGAGCTGCAGATGTTCGCGAAGAAAGAGATGCAGAAAGAGGTAATCTACGGAATGCTAATCTGCGTCACCTTTTCCATTTGCTGACTCGAGAGTGACTACGATTCTCACTCTAACGGCTCGTGGAAGTTTTTGTCGGTTTATACCCAACTCATCGGAATTATTAATACATGTCGGTTTCTCGTAAATTCCCAATATTGAATTAACTTCACCCTAGTTTCCAGGAGAACTATGTATCGCGAATTGAAACGCGGATGACAATTATCGCGATCGACTTAAGGAAAATTTCGTAATTGCATTGGAGTAAAAATCTCTCTGTTTGCAGGTAGTGGTACCGAAAGCGAAGGGTGAGATCCTCGGTGTTGTGATTGTTGAGTCCGGCTGGGGCTCGATGCTGCCAACCGTAGTCATAGCGAATCTCGCGCCGGCCGGCGCCGCCGCACGTTGCGGTCAGCTTAACATTGGCGATCAGATAATAGCGATTAACGGTGTATCGTTAGTCGGCTTGCCTTTGTCCACATGTCAGACTTACATAAAGAACTCGAAGAATCAAACGGTCGTCAAGCTAACTGTCGTGCCGTGTGCACCTGTGGTCGAAGTGAAAATCAAGAGACCCGACACGAAATATCAGTTAGGATTTAGTGTACAGAACGGAGTGATATGTAGTCTATTGAGGGGTGGTATCGCCGAGCGGGGCGGAGTACGAGTGGGTCATAGGATAATTGAAATCAATAATCAGAGTGTTGTTGCTGTACCGCACGAAAAGATTGTTAATCTTCTTGCTACGTCAGTGGGAGAGGTACGTAAGCGCGTGGAACTAAAGTGCTTTTAGTGTGTGCTTCGTGTGCTTATTATTTGATAGAATAAAATATCAGGAAGCAGTTATATGTATGAGGGTCAAAGAACATTCTCTTCTTTTCTAGATTTTGATGAAAACGATGCCCACGTCTATGTTTAGGCTGTTGACCGGCCAGGAGTCTCCGGTGTACATATAAAAAGCGTTCAGTTGCCTGGCTGATGCGTAGTGAACAGACAATACATCCACCATCCACTACCATACTATCCGCTACCTTTACTGTACAGGTTATTCAATGCAAATCGCTTTGTGTTTTCGATTCTTATGGGACGATTCGATACATTCACCAGCTCCTGCTTAGTAAACGAGACCTACATAGGGGTACGTCGCAAAAACGTTACTAAATATCTACTCAAGCATAATTTATATGATTATCGATTATTGTAAGAGATATTCGTCTAGTTCTAATCAATGAGATTCTCTATAACATAAATATGTTCCCTGAAATCTTGCGAGATATTGTTTCGATGCCGGTTAATGCATTATGTCAATGCATTGCGGTGTTTAATTTATTGTCTGAGCGGTGTAGAACTTGCGGCGAAATTGTCGCGATTACTCAGGCGTTCGATTTATTACGAGTCTAGCAAAACGATAGGGGGAAAAATAATATTGATTTTCAGTGCACAACAAGTGGATGTTACAGAGAATCGCATTATTCGCGCCAAGGAAGATGATATAGGTGATGCAGTTGCACATGATTATAAATAGCACAAAGCTCTTTACCAACAGCTGGAGCAGGGCTGGAATTGTATATTACGTAGTTTAATGACGTAGTAATATTTATAAAAAGGATCTCCCTCTATCTCTCGCGGAGACACTTTAAGCTAAAGTGTTTATTTAATCTTTTTTATCCTTAAGGCCGGCGAATACTTGCGGCGCGACGCCCGAGTTTATTAATTTGTACTAAAATTACTATCTTACCGTAGTAAACTTCGGACGCGTAAATCTCGTGATAAATAATGCCATAGTAATTATATAGAAGAGCACAGTAACGTATTCTATAATATATGAGAGGGATTTTTTTAAGAGAGTAGATTAATCTGTTTTTTGCAATACGTTAAGCTGACTTCCGGCAAGAGATAAATAAACTGTGTATCTCTCTCGTCGAATACACGGAAATGGTCAGTGGACAAAAATGTTGATTCAACATCATGTATGCCTACATATCGCTTTATCAATGCTATTCTGTCGTATACTCACCTGTATCAAAGATGAAGTCGTAACGTTCACCGCGCGATATTATTTTTCGGAGCGACGTTTGAAAGTCCTTCATATTATGCCTCATAAATGACTGTCACTCGCGAGAAAATAGGTAAATAAAAAAATTTTAAAGTTTATTTACTCCGAATATTGCTATATCCGTAAGTGCACAATTTCCTAATAAATATTTAAAGTTAGTGTACATTTTTGGAAAAAATATGCACGCCTGTGTGTGTATGTGTGTGCGTTTGTGTGTAAGAGAGAGACTTGTTTTTTGTTTCTCGCGAATGGTAGTCAACTGTAAACTTGCAAAAGTCATCTTGTTCCCAGTATGTTACATTAATCGCGCTCGCTTCTTCGATCACATATTGATAAATGTTGAGAAATGGCTGTGTATTTAAGAGTCTACATTTTATAGACGTAAGACCGTACTCGACTTAGGCACTTTAGAATAGAGGCCTTTAAATTTTTCAATACTTTACGTCCTCTAGCTCTCTCTTTCTCTCTTGATATTTCGTGAATTCCCCGCTCGTTTTATTAGGGATTCAACATCTTCATCGAATTGTTAACTCTAATTGAATCTTTAACTTAAAATTCATGGTAGTAGAGCTGTTCAAAGTATATTACGCTGACAATTTTTTAAGTACTTATCGATTAGAAGCCTTCATATCTCTCGAAATTTTCTCACGCCATTCCGAAGCATCTCGCATCTCAATTTGGAAAATAATATTTTCGAGTAATCTCGTCTCGTTACGCAGATTTCCCACGAAAGATTGATGAAGAACGCTTTAGAAATCTTTCTACCGCTCGATTCCTATCGATCTAATTTTGTAGAATAAAGTTTCTTTTAATTCACTCGTTTTTCGCGTTCGGAAAAGTTCAGTTCGTAAAAATAGTCGTAGTAGTTAATCGTAAAATGGCTTATAAATTATAGACTGCACCTTATCCGTATCAGCTTGCAGTAAGTCTTCACTCACCGTGTATAATACTTACATGTAAAATATGTAAATTGTATTCGACTCAATGTGGCTTCACTGCATATAGGCATACAAAATGAAAATCTAGCTTTTCCCGACTTGTAGTAACTCTTCGTCAATGGAAAGTTTCTTCTAAAATATAACAGACTGACTCACTTCTATGTGTGACCCAATATAAAAAAAATTACTCATTCTAGAGAAACGTAAATTCTACAGTCGTATTACTACAAAAAAAAAGAAGAAAAGTCCTCTTCTATATAAATACTATATGCCATAATAATCTAAGTTTTATCTATTTTTGCTGAAAATTTCTCACCTTCGAGCTATTCTGCTTCAAATATCAAGAAGTGTGCGATGACAAACTTTGAGATTCCTGATGTCTGATAAAATTTCAATGCCAAAGTACATTAAGTAGGCGTAACGACGAGACAGCGGAGTATACGCATAATTTTCGACGAACTGAAAAAATAATTATTCAGATTTTGTCTGAGAATGTGCGAATCATTTAAGGAACGATGTATCCTAATTTGCAAAAAATTGAACTTGCGTTGTATTTATCTTCTGACATAATTCAGATATATATAGGGCATTTAAAGAGCAAGCGTTCATAGGATTAAGTAGGACGTTAACTAAATATCGTGTAAAAGATATCTAATAAACATGAGGAAAATTATCTTTTCGAGGATAGAACCAATTAGATTGCTCTCGACATTGTACAAACTGAGAATTGTTTCTATCTACAAAAAGACGAGATTTTCGAGGCATGTTGATTAAACATCTTTCGCCTAATGAATACGCTCTTCGGATCTTGAACTCTTCTTTTTTAAACAGCCCTTGTAAGTCATAAAATTTGTGTTCACATAGTGTCATAATACATATTGTAAAAACAATCATACGTAAACCTGTTTAAAAGTGACGAGGAATGCTAATTTTGTAACAAATAAACTAGAATTTAATTTCGGAAGATCGAACATGTGTTCTGGGCTTTGCTCTCTTTGCTTTGTCGACATAACAGACATGGATTCTCCGTATATAATTGTAAGTCGATTCTTCGATTACACTGATATCTTCAAAGATCTCTCTGATTTGCCATAGACACGATATTTCCTACGGGACAATTCTCTGTGAGGCACGTGGATGAAGGGCGTGTAAATAAAAAATGTTTTGTTGTCTACGATATTTAGTGATGTAAAAGCGAAAGTGTGACGCGGTGCACGACGCCGCAAATCGATACGGACGGAAAGCCTCGTGAGGATAGTTACGTGAGAAATGTCACGAAATATATGTATAAATATATGGTAATTCCATTACTTCATCGAGGAGGGTGTAGCGAAGCATATTACGATATTGCATATCATGGGGAACCGATATATCATTGTGGAGACCTTCATTCATTACGGGCAGATATCTAAATGAGTATGCAGAAAGTATTATCTTTTGCCGGAATCATCAGAGTCTAGAATAAATCGCGACTATATACGTTAGGGCAATGGATTTTGGCATAGAAATTTTAACCATATATTCGACGAGCAACACAAAGCGGTATGAATATAATATATGGGATCAAACAAGATGTGTTATATATTGGGTGGCTGAAACTTATCTAGTCATTACGCTAAGAATAAGATGAATATATAAATATAAATAAAAATAAAGAAAAGTATATATATATACATATATATATACATAATAAGTTAATACTCAGCCATCGCAAGCCATCCTGACTGAATGTGTCTAGCCACATTTTAATAATGACATCTGCAACTTGTACTGTCAATCTGGCCTTGCGTGGTCATTACTTGTATGTTCGTTAGAGATGAAATGTAATATTATTAAATCGTCATTACACACAGTCTTCGTTTGTTGACTCAAATTTTATGAGAAAAAAAAACAATCGACTTTTTTGTCTTAATAACTGGAAGGTATACATATAAGTTATTAAAGTATGGCTTCTTGAAGTATTTACGAGCGTAAATTAATAAATATATAGACTCATTTGACTTTATCTGTTGATATTCTATTGATATTCTTCACCTAAATTCTTTTTCTATACATTTTTTTTCTAGATTTTCTACGATTGTTGGTAAATTATATTATATATGAACGAATGCGAGGGGAGGAGATCTAGTAAACTTGTTCCGTTTATAAATTTAAATAAGCGTACACAGTTCGTCGAAATGAGAAAGTTTCGTCGTGTAATTATTTCCAAGCGCTGTAAGACATTTTGTGTCACGCTTGTCCTCTTTAACGAGGACATTGGCAGGTAATGTCTGATTTATGGAATATTTCGTCGATGACAATGCATGTCTTGCATCATCGAGCCTTACAAAGTGAAGAATGATGATCGTGCAAAGTCAGTATGAATGGTAGAAAAAAATTCCAAAATTGCAGTCAGAATCGTTATGAGGCAATTGAGAAAGAACCCAGCCATTCATGATAAATAAATAAAATAATTATATCTTACACACACACATATATATAGAGCTTGCGCTGTAGCTTCACCAGTCATGAAACATGCTACAAGATATCTCATGACTGTCCTTATCAATGTTTGTGAGTGTATAATAAGTTATAAACTATAAGTGAGCTATTGAATGTGTATATGGTATATGCTAGTCCATACTAAGATACAATAAAATGTAATTTTGAATTCAAATTCATACGTAGTTATGTCTGTCACTTTGAAGCACGGTATATGATGCAACTATGAAAACGATATATAGCTTTTCTATTTTTCTTTTCTCTCTTAAAGGCTTTATTTCTTCAAAATATTCCACGTGACATGTGAAGCAATGAGGTATATACATTATGAAGCTTGTTCATAAAAGCGAGCTAAAATTATCTAAACTATTAATATCGTGGAAAAAGTAGAAGCACCGACGAGCCACTCCTCTTTCTTTCTAAAATGTCCTAACGAGCTTCTTTACATCCATTTTAGCACCGAGTTAATGTTGATAAGGACATTTTAATACACTTTGTTATAACAGAAATACAAAATGACATATCATTTAAGCCTATAATGCTTATAAAAAAGAAATCAGTTTTATTCGTTCTCCATCCGTTAGTATTTTATTGTTATATTATTAGCTTCCACATTCTATTACTAATTTAGCAACATAGAAGTTTAAAATAAAATTTTATTTTGTAAATTTTAACATGTGTGTTTCACACATTTCGGTAAAGCAATGGTTAAACGAACGTAAAAAAAAGAGGGAACTAACATATTTCATACATGATTCATTACCGATTATACTTAATGAAATGTACATATAGCGGTATTTAACTTTTTGGATCTTAATTATTAGTTTATGTACGTTAATTATTCCATAGTAGCTCTTGGAAAATCTTTCGTATCGCACTGGCACAACGTGATAATGCATACAATAGAATAATTATTCTAAATATCCCAAACTCTTAATAATAATTTCTTTATTATTGCAGATTATCTACAATTGTTTTAACCTATTCCCGTGTCCTTAGATTACAAAACCTCTCTGTTGTAATTATTAAAAAAAAAAGGATCATTAATGCAATGTCCCCATTTTGTGGATACCTATATACTAACTGGTTGTACTTTTTCTCACATTTGATGCAATAAAACGTACATTAGGTATAAATCATTGACATTTTTTTATTAAGCCGATTATATCAATATTAAGATTAATTTATTGAGCCAATGCGTTGTGATAATTGTGTTAAATATGTCTATCAATATATATATACTATATATATTCCTTTGCCACCGTTTTGTTACAAAGATATTGTTTCTACTATTTTTCTATTTATTTACTTACATAATGTGCAACGTATGTAAATTTAACTATTTTTTGCGTATGTTCAATTCTCGTTACGATCGTTAATTTTACTTATCAAATGGAAAATATTTACGGAAAATAATATACGTATATATATATATATGTATATGTGTGTAACTATGTATTTTACATTGTCTCCTTCAAGTAAGCAGTCGTCATAAAACAATATTCTTTTTATGTATTTTAATCGAGTCGATTTTCTCTATGTTAAAATTTATTGTATCTTAACGAACAGAATTTGTTCATTGTGAGACACAATAAAAAATGTTTCTATTCTCCTTACTTATATTTACACATTATAAGCAATTAATTGGCAATCATTATTAACATAATGGAAGATTTCTATTCACTTATAGCTCAACTTTTCTTAGCACAAATCAAATGTATTCAAACGTTTCTCCTTATTATACATTGAAAATTAAAGAGCTTTCGCGATAATCTACACCTCGCAACGAAATAATCGTAGATGTCGAAAGACGCTTAAGTTTACATAGATTGAAAATGCTTTCGTATCTCCTTTAATATAATATTTATAAGACATGTGAGATAAATAATAGCTCTATTACAGATCGGCCTTATCGTTCTCTAGTCTACGTATGCAAGGATACTTAAATCTATGGTGTATTAGACAGAGACAACCAGTTAGCATACATAATAAATTTGTTTCAAAGAAAAGAATGTCACATGTCAAAACGTAGATCTCTCAATCTCATCTTTAAATAATACATTAGGAAGAAAAAGGAAAGTACAAGTTGCAAATTGCACTAGCAGCAATATATTGAAAGAATTGTATGTCGCGTACTTTTCCTTAATATAATTTCAAACTTATGTAACATATCTCATCGCATCTTCTCACAAAGAGAGGCTTCCTCTTGCGCAACGTTAATGTAGGAAGAAGATATTTACGAAGTTTCTCAATGAGCGATTGAATAAATTCAACAGTGCTTTTGCATTTCCCCCACGATATAGAAAATATCCATTCTGTTTTACTCTTACAAAACTTTTATTATTTTTATAGCAAAATTGTGGACACAGGTGTCGGATACGCAGTTGGTGCGGGTAAGGTGATCAAAAGTCTGGGAAAGGTAGGAGTAACGTCGCTTTGCTTTGTCGTGGGCGATCTGACAAGGCTGAGATCAGTTGTCCATAGCGTATCTTCGAGTCCACTCTTTGGCATTACGTATCGCTTCGCTTTCGTTGACTTTCCAAAGTTCAGCTACATCATTTGCCAAAGGATCGTCGGGATTCGGCGCGCTCAGGAGCGCTTGTATGGATAGCAGAACTGTTCTGATTTGAAGCGCTGGACTCCACTTGTCCTTGAGGATATCCAGGCAAATCCTGCCCAATCTACAGATAAATCGAGATAAATCATGTTAAAGCGTCACAGCATACCGAGACAGTAGATTACCTGTCTTTGTCATTTTTATTTAAAAACCGATCAATTTCTTTTAAACATAGATATACATGAGCGATTTTAATTGCAATCTATATCGTTAGATTTATGTCAAAATAATATTTTGCGTGACTTCTTTTCTCGACTTATGCGAAACGCAATAAATGCTTGATAAAAGCGAGACTTGCACGGTTTTGATAATCAAGATAGATATATCACATGTTGTCATCTTTACCTGTCTATATTTGGATGATATATTTTTGTGATAAACCTAACTTTCGGTGCGGACATTGGGTAATCTTCTGGTAGGAACAATTCAAGCTTAAACAATCCACCTTCGAATGGCGAATCTTCAGGTCCCGTTACTATTACGTGAAAATATCTAGCATTTGTATCATCTGGCACGGCGCTGATACCAGGAACTGGCTCTTGCATTAATCTTTGAGTTTCTTTAATAATCCTCCGTGGTAACGCCGCCATTGCTTATGCAAAGATCTGTGAGGAAAAGAAATTTGCAAGGTTACTAAGGATTATTCTTGCATACAATGTACCAAACTGTTTGGCCGTTTCGGCAAACAGTCTCGAATTGGAATCCGAAAGTTCATGTAAAATTAACTGCAAAACGACGATCTCTATCATCATTTTTCACTCTCAAAAGCTTCACTCAACAAGATTCCTCAATTTAACAATTTTTTTCAAGTACATATTTTTTTACAAAACTCGCGTAAACGAAATGAAACAGCTACCCTGTGTTTTCTTTTCCACTTGTCTTTCCTTTACAAATACATGATAATTTGCGACGCGAATTTAAATCCGACGACTAACGTAGCAACGAATTGCACTTCGTGTCACGCTGGGAACCTTAATGAAACGTTCGTACGCGAATTGTCGTCAATAAACGTAATTTTTTCTTTTGTTACAAAATCGTCTCATATTAAATCACAAAGAACAGACGCGATGACGCGAAAATCATCCCGAGCCACCACGCCAGCATCTCTCGCATACCAACGAGAGTACTTTACTCTCTTTCTTTCCTTCTCTCTCCCACCCTTTCTACACAAAACACAATGCTGACCGCCGAGCGGTCATCTCGCACCACCGCGATTTACAAACCGGATATCCTGGCATGTGTCGAGAAGGCGGGGGATCGATAATCTCTTTCGCGGCCAACTCGTCAATGGGCTACGGACGAACGACGATCGGCTACGAGTTGACAGCGTTGACAGCTTTGCCACACCGAGCGGAGCACGTACGCGCGCACACACACTCGCCTCCGCGCGCGTACGTGCTCCGCTACGTATGCGCGCGCGCGCGTATGTGTGTATGTGTGCGTGCAGAGATCCACGGTACGCGCTGCCAAGTGTCGGGGACGACGTGACCGCGTGAACGTGAATCCTTTCGCGGATGATAAACGGGCGCGCGATAAATCCAGGGGGCAAAATCCGGAGTTCGTGGGCGACAGAAAGAAAGAAAGAGCGTACAGATCGCGCGCATCCCGGATAGTATAATAAACAAAGGGTGCGAGCGACGTAGCGGCGATCCGGTTGCCCCGGGTTGTCGTTATCGGCGCCCCGACACGGCACACGGTCGCGCACCGTCCGCACGCGGATACGTACGATATTCCCTACGTAAAGAGCTCGCAGTCGCGTCTCACGCGAGCCTCCTCAGTCCTCCGGCAGTTTCTCTTTTTTTCTTCTCTCCCCGCGACCACCTCTCTCTCTTTCTCTCGGCGACTCCGGTGTTCCTCCAGAAAACCTCGTTGTTAACGCGCTCGCTCGCGCTCGTTCTCCTGGCTAGTCGTCGTCGTCGTCGTCGTCGTCGTCGTCGCCGTCGCCGTCGCCACCGCCACCGCCGCCGTCGGCCTCACGTCGGCCCCGCAGCCGACTCTCCGGGGAAGGTGGGGGAAAGAGGGGGAGGAGTTGGGACCCAACCGGCCGGTGATCCACGGGTCCACGGGGGCTACTCGATCGCGGCCCGCTAATTCAATTTTCACTCGTGCCGTGGACGGTGGTACCGCACACGGTCGATGGTTGGTCGCGGCTGGTCCTTGGTGGTTCGGTTCAGTCAATGGTCCCCTTCACAGCCGCCTCTCGCGATTCATTTTATCACGCTGCTTGATGGCGCTGCTCGCTCTCCAGTCTGAGACTCTCTCCCGTTCCTCCGGTTCTCTCGGTTCGTCCGCGTTTCTCCGGTCTGTCCGTAATCCGTATCTCTCACTCGCGGGGTCGCGGGTATATCTCCGTTCACTTTCTCTCTCTCTCACACACGCGCGCGCGAGTTCAACCCGTTCGTTCGACACGCGATAACACCCCGCTCGCCCGATACCCTTTATTCGTCCGTTGTCTCGGAGAGCGTTGGAGAGCGTCACCGAACGACCGAACTACGAAGTCATGAAGTCACGAGAGAGGCTAGACTGGCTAGAGTGCGACGACGAGAGCGCGCGTTGACGGGACCGACCACCGACCATGGCAGAATCTGCGGAAGAAGAAATAATGGACGCGTTCAGCAGGGCTGCGTTCGAGAACCACGCTCTTCGCACAGTCCCCGGTGCCTAGAGTTTTTTCACTAGACCAGCCAATCAGATATTTCGCAACGTGGTGAAACAGGACGATCCAATAGGAATTTACCGGCCTACGTTAGTACATACATTATCGCTACTTGCCGCGTCGCCAGCACCGGCAGCATCGCACGCTATACTGTGCGTTGATTGCATTATTGCGTAGGTTAGTTTCGTCCGCTGTTCGCGTGGTTTAAAAAAAAAAGGGAAAAACGAGGTAAATATTCTTATAACAACTTTCGATCATACGCGCTTTACATTTTAAAATCATATTATTTTTTCTCACATAAATTATCTTATTTATTTCATCATCTAATTTTTTCTGTTTACAGCGTCATAACCTTTTTCGTAACACGTGTAGCAGTTTGATTGAACGCGAGGACTGGTTGAAGATCCAAGTGATATTTAATTTCGTGAAAAGGATCAACAATATTATACAAACTTTAGATTCGGATAGTTCTAGAGTATCTGCGCTACATAACCCAAAGGCAGGATTGAAGGTGCCTTTGCTCCTAAACGAACTAAACAAAACGAAGCAATCTAGCAAAAGAAACGTGTGTAAGGTTAAATAAGGTGACCTAAAGAACAATAATAAGTAAAACGTAGAAGAAGATTTGTGTTAAATAACTGAAGCTTCCAGTTGGAGACACGGCGATAGGACTGCCTATCCCAAAATTAAAAGATTGAAATAAAATCGATTCACCGTTGACTTGAAGTCGATAAAAAAAAAGAATCATGAGAAATCTAACGGTTCACCAAGTATATCGTAGAAGTATCGATTTTATGAGCGACGTAAAAGATCTTCAAGAATCTTTGCATTGCGCTATCAATTCAAGTAACAACGATGTGTACCTGTTATTGCACAATCACCTCTACGTAATACCATTTGAAGGAGATATTATCGATCTAGATATTGGTCCTTCTCTCAAAATTGTTTCAATGGAGTATTGCACCACCCTGCAGGAATTGTACTGTGCTTATGAGTTTGGTGACGTTGTTAAAATTGACATAAAAGATCCAACTCGTATTGATCAAAATGTAGTAGGGATTTTTGGTAAAGGCCTACAGTGTATGAAATTCAGTCCGGATCATGAACTCGTTGTTGTTGTAACAGGCAAAGGAAATGTGATCACTATGGTATTAGACTTCCAAATAATATCAGAGGTAATACTTATTTGGTTTCAAATCAAATTTTTTTTTTATTATTCAATTTTATTCTTGTCATGCATTTGATGAGCAAGACTAGAGACTCTCCAGGGAGAGACTGGTCAATTCGCCGCCCCATTTACAATTTTATTTTATATGTTAAACTAGATATATATTTTTACAGGTAAATTTATATTCAGAAAAGTTTGGGCAGTGTGAATTTTTTAATGCTGGTTGGGGCAAAAAAGAAACTCAGTTTCATGGTTCAATGGGTAAAGCAGCGGCTCGAGCTGAACCGGAAGAACTAATCCCGAATGAGCACGACGATGGTGGTACTCGAATTCGTTGGCGCGAAGACGGCGCGTTTTTCACTGTTAGTTTTCTGCATAAGAAAACGAAAATTCGAAGATTTAAAGTATTCAACCGAGAGGGTATTTTATGCTATACCAATGAACCGGTCAACGGATTGGAGGAATGTCTAGCTTGGAGTCCATTGGGAAATCTGCTTGCCGTAACTCAGACAGCATACGATAAATATGTTATTGCATTTTTTGAGAAAAACGGCCTTAAGTACTCGGAATTTTTGCTGCCCTTTAAAGTTGGAGAAGTAAAGGTATGTTAAATATTGAAATGGACGATCTTTGAAGAGAGAGATTGCCTTGTAAAGTTACAAATTTTATTAAATAGATGTCTTACAGGTAAAAGATCTGCTTTGGTCACCAGATATTCTGGCTGTTGTTTGTCACGAGTCAAAAACAAACGCTAAGCTGATACAACTGTGGACTGAAAATAATTGTTATTGGTATCTTAAACAAACTCTTGTCTTTAATGAAGCGAATCCGTTGCTATATGTAACATGGAGTAATGTAACTAATAAAAAGGAATTGATTTATCTAACCAAAAAAGAAATTACTTTCTGCTCGTTTAATTGGTGCCTGGATCATAGCAGAGGCAAAACTGTGGATGATAGAGCTGTGTCTGGTGTTATTGATGGAAATAAAATATTAGTCACTGCTTTCAAAGATGGAGTTGTCCCACCGCCAATGGCGCATCAATCTTTAGAAACTCAAGAGTCACAAAATGCAATTATTTTTGGTCCAAATATTAATAAGTCAGCCTTGGTAAACAGCAACGACTTCTTTACTATTTCATGCAATAATAAATTGACGGTTTTTAAGCAGAAAAAGGTAATTTATCTTAACAAAATAATGATGCAGAAATATGATATGATGATACATAATCTATATTTCTTGTTGCTTTATGTAATTTATTTAATATTGTAGAAATTTTCCACGCTGACATATGTAGCTGCAAACGTATGTAGTATTTCTTGTGACGTACTATACGTTATCGAAGATAAAGCATTAAAAATTGATGACCGCGATTGCTTCATGCAACATTTCTTATGGTTTACAGAGAACATCATGTTGTTCTCTATAGTTACAAAAAACCACAATCTCTTGTGTGTTTTATCTCTAAATGGCATGCATTCCAATGATTGTCTGAAAATACGGTATGTGATATCCCAGAATCATTAGATGTGTAAAATAATATCTATCTAAACTTGAATTTTTTTTACAGGGAAATTCATGTAATGGATTATCCAATAGAACATATAGTTTCTTCTCCCGATGCAAATACAGCTTACATAAAAGTAAGAGATCGAATATTTAAATACACAAGAAACGGAAAACTTGAACAGACAGATATAACGTTAAGCGAACAGTGCGAGCAAATAGAAGTTATACAAATTGATTCGAAAGATATTATCCTTGCTCTGTCTCTGGAAAATAGTTTCTTGGTCGACGGAAAAGAAATTGCTAAGAATATTACAAGTTTTTACGTACATTCAGATTTTTTGCTTCTTACGACACTGCAGTGCACATTGATTTGTGTCTTGTTGAACGAAGTTAATATAAGGCAGCTAAGTGAACGTGATTTAACTATCCAGCCCTGGGATTTAAATATGAACGAGATTTTATTTGCTGGTAAATACATACTTTTTATTTTGTAGTGTTCTCTTTTATTTTGTATATAGCATATTTTTCTGACTTTAAATATATCGTTACAGGTATCTACATCAGGCGACTCGAAAAAGGTTCTCGTATAATAACGACGATACCGTACGAATCGAAAGTAATTTTACAGCTGCCTAGAGGAAATTTAGAATGTATACAGCCAAGGGCATTATCGGTGCATATACTAAAATGTTATCTGAATAACTGTGATTATTTGACGGCACTTGCCATAATGACTAAACAACGTATAAACTTGAATTTATTATACGACCACGATCCACAATTATTTCTGGATAACGTGAAAAAGTTCGTAGAAGATCTTGTACAGCACAAGAAGTTAAATTGGTTGAGCCTGTTTTTGTCAGAATTACAAAACGTCGATGTCACCCGTACGATGTACACGTTTTGTTATGCGGATCGCAACCCTGTCAAATCTGACGATAGAAGTAACGAAACTACAATTAATAAGGTAGACGAGATTTGTAAATTATTAAGAGATGCCATGGAGAAACATCAAGATGCGGATAATTTAATACAACCAATATTGATAAGCTTGGTGAAAAATCAACAAAGACAAGGATTGGAAAATGCACTTAGTAAAATAAAGCAAGTGAAAATGTTGGAGGATTCACAGAGATCAGAGTTACGTGATTCTACCGTGTCCGCTCATGGAGCGTTAAAGTGTTTACTGCATTTCGTCACTATCGATACGTTATATGATGTTGCATTAGGCATGTATGATTTAGAACTCGCAAAGTTTATAGCGTCTGAATCATCGAAAGAAGATCCCAAAGAATATATTCCATTCTTGAACAATTTGAAAAAATTAGACCCAAATTACATGAAGTATTCTATTAATGTCCATCTTAAACGTTACGAATTAGCGTTAGAGAATTTGTCTAAAGATCCAACCAAGTTTGAGGAATGCTTAAATTTGATACGTAATCATAAATTATACAAGGCGGCAATAAAATTGTTTGAGAAGAATACTACAGAGTATAAAAAGGTGGCTGAAGTTTATGGAGAATTCTTGTCAAGTGAAGGGAAATATGTGGAAGCTGGTATGATGTTTTATAGAAGTGGCGATCTTGACAAAGCTGTAGAAACATTTAGTATGTCAAGTGATAATTGGGAGGATGTAATCGCAATATCAAAAGAGATGAAACTAAGGTAAAGATATAATTGTATATACAATTTTTTTTTGTACATGCATGAAAGAATATTATCCTATCATCATTAGAATTACATATGCTGTTCTACACATAAGAATTAAATTTTTCAGCCCAGCAAATTCACACAAACTTTATAACACACTGGTTGAACGTTTGAAAGCAGAGCGGAAATATAAACATGCAGCTATAATATTAAAAGAATATTTAAATGATGCTGAAGAAGCAGTTGCGCTATTATGTGAGGGAAGATCTTGGAAATATGCAATACGAATAATATCTGATGTTCAACGTTTAGATCTGAATGGTTAGAAAATGGTTAATAATCAAGTGAATCAATATCTAGTATAATTATTATAGTATATGTATTATATATATAATTTATATATACCTAATATATAATGTGTAAAAGTAATAATTTTTGTTGAAATTGGCATTTTTAAATTTAATATATTAAATTTTCTGTTATATTTTTATAGAAACACATATTAAACCTGGAGTGAAGGAACACGCAGAACATGTAATTTCACAATTGAGTAAAATGAAGGAAGATTTTCTGAAGTACAAGTCACGTCTTGCTATAGTGAGAACAGAAATTAAAGCAAAACAAACACAAATACAATTGTATCATGAAAAAACCTATGGCGATGAACCGGAATCTAATAAAGAAATTCCAGATTGCATTAGTGACGCAATCAGTATCGCAGAATCTGTTTCAAGTCAAATATCGCGGATATCTATGTCTTCGAGGTGCTTACATATATATTTTTTAAATTTGTCTGATAGCATTATATATAAGGTTTGTTGTTTATAGCTGTACTCACGTATACTCGTTGTGCTGAGAATAGAATAGATATATGTTTGAAGTTTGCCGAAACTTAGAGAGAAAGTATTAGTGCAGTCTAATGCAGCGATAAAGAACAGGCCTATAAATTGTACACTTTGTATTCATGTATAATCTTATATCTATATATAAAGTAAAAATATGAAAATATCTTTTTAGCAAGAGCTATCGGTCAAGTAAGAACCGTAGAAAACAAGAGAGAAAACTTTTCAGTTTAAAGGAAGGCAGCCGATTTGAAGATTTAAGCTTAATACATGCCCTTTACCAAATTGTTAGCAATGCGTACAAGGATAGAGGTTGGTCCATAGAAGCAATATAAATTCACAATAGATGTATAAATGCTCTTGAATATAAATTCAAATTATTACAACATTATCGAAGACGTCATGGAATATATGTTATAACTTTTTCATTATAATATATATTAAATATTTTATTAATTTTTAATATATATTTTAAATGTAATAAAAAATAATTTTTACTTACAGACGATTGGTATCAGCTGGTACAGGTACTAATACGATTCGAATTTGATGAAAGCGCAGAAAAGATCATAGTTGAAACAAGGGAGTTCTTTCAATTAGTGGAAAGTAGTAAATCTGAAATTTGGGACAGATCAGCTCCTACAAGTTTAGCTGACATAGTAAGTAATCAGTATCAACAATATTTCAGCAATTTCTGAATTGCGCTTTACATTTCTTAAATTTATTTACAGGAAAAAAGTGAAAATTATACACAAGCACAATTTCAAGAAATGATAGCACCTATTAAATTAATAGGTAAGTGCTCACAAAATGCGGTAGAGTGATATTTTTTCACTTATCGGCTTTTAATTATTTTTTGCTTTTTAATTTTTCAGAACGCTACATAATGTATCCACCTGAGGTTGATGCAGCATCACGCGTGCTGACTATTTTCTAACTTTTTTTTACATGTGAATTAAGTATTTGAAAAATAAGTGAAAAATCGATTTTTTTAAACATTGCATATTTTTAAAATACCAGTCATGAATATAAGGAAGTTTTGTTACATAATAAATATAAGATATTAATGTAAAAATAATTAAATATAAAGGCTTCTTTTTAGCTGAACTTTTTGCACGGTTTAGCTTTCCTCTTTTTTTTCATATTGGGGAGAAAACCAGAAGGTGAATTGTACAAAAAGTTCATCTAAAAAGAACAAGCCGTAAGATATTGATGTAAAAATAATAGCAATAAAGATGAGTTATAGTAATTTAGTTATTTATTTACAAAGATATGTGTATATAGAGTTAGTAATTTAATCTATATCATTGTGATATTATAATTAAATTTGCAACTAATTAGGCCTAAATATAATAGCCACTTGTATTTGATCTTACAATAGTCATACATATATTAAACATCTAAATTTGGAAATGTTAGAATTTGGATCGCTTAACAATATAAAATTTTATTTTGTTTCAGGCGTGCGCAAATACTTATATACTAATTATCTTATATACATATTATAGGATATAGTAATATAAAATGTAAAATCAAAGAACATTTCTTTATCACCATATTGATAAAAATTTCCTAAGCGATATATGATATTTCCAAAAATTATTACTTCTCACTTTTATACACACAACTTTTATCCAATTTATATTTCAAAATAGCAATCAAAAGACTTAACGATTAGACTCCCATACTAATTAAGATAGACTACATCGGAGAAAATATAAGATATATAAAATCATAAGAAAAAAATGAAATATGTATTCGAATACTCACATATTTTCATATGATGGCATCAAAAGTATTTGTGTAGGACTTATATCAAAATTAAAATATTATTATAATCAACTAGGAATAAAAACTAAAAGCTTTATTTAATATTTCATTATAAAAAAGATGCATTTTACGGTTTTCAGCTATATACCTCACTACGGCAGTCCAAAATAAAGTCCATCAGTATTACCCGACTAAATTTTCATGCTTACAATAACAAACGTTTTGTATATAAAGCTCTAAATACATGTCCTTTGTTTTTTTTTTTTTACGTGACTAAATGAGAATAGATTTTTCAATAAGAAATTTGTGCATTAAATGTCTAGCGCGCACAACATTAATTAGTTTGCGATAAAGCTTTACTTTATCCTTCGTTTATCTTTATTTCTTGTAAGACCCAATGTGTCATGGATCATAATGTCCACGATCATATTCATCGATATGACATTTAATACATCAGACAAACACCTTATTGAAAATATCTCCAAATTATGAGGAGTTCAGAAATAAATTCTATTCCGTTCTATTACAAATTTAAGACTCATTGCTTCTTGCTGCAATGGAAAGCATAATTGGCGATTTAAGCTCTGGTCGAATACTAATTTTCATGTGTTTCACATGGACGTACTTCTTTCTCACAGCTTGATATTTACTGTCCTCTGCGTTAACTATTATGGCAGCTATATCTTGTACTGCAGGTAATACATCGTCCTTGGAGTAAGTGCTGTAGTGTGTTAAAGTATCTGTCCAGATAACCTTGCCTTCGTCTTCTTCATCATTACCGATAACTCTGCAATCATTTATCCATTAATCGAAAATATTATGGAAGGAAGGTATAACGTAAGGTGATTCAATAACTTACAAAAATGCTAGATATATTGCTGCTGCAGCGATAAGACTAGGTGAATAATGACACATTTCATAGTGAACCAAGCTTTGCTCGAGGAAATACTTGGCCATCGTGTGATGTATAGGGAGCGCCTTGAAATAAATTATTTCGTCATTACTTGACAAAAGTTACAGTGCCAGTTATAAATAACGTAAATAAAGCAACGAAATAAAAATTGAAATTCCGAGCGTTACGAATACGCACTTTTCCAGCTTTGCTGTATCTCCGAAGAAAATGCAGCGGTAACGGTCGCCCGAACGAATAGTCCAAGATTTTCACGATGAGCATTTCCATGTTCAATATATCTGCCTTTGAGTATGCCTTGTCCGTGATATATACAAAATCACTTATATCCGGCGAATACATTTCTTCATATTTGCTAGCGATAAACATAGCTGTTACACCTACCAGCTGCAATTTCTTCCTATCTATGCTTCGGTAGAGCTGCAACAACAAAATATATACGCATATAAACAAAAATATATGTAAATCATTTATAGCGTAAAAATTAAAAGACATTCGCCTCCGATGCGGCACGTTACATCAATTGCGTCTTACTTGTAAGAAGCGATCGATAACTGCGATGGTAAGGTACAACGTCTCTTGCATCAATCGAAACTGTTGATGTACTTCTACCAACCAATCTACCAGCACACATCTCATTTTAGGGGTGACTTCCTGGCCCGCTAGAAATCCCTTCTTAATGGGAAACTTCTTCTCCAACGTCCTTAAATAGTCATGTATGTCGTTGGTGTAGAGAGAAACTAGAATGGGATTATTCTCGTCCTGTTCATCAATGTCTTCAAACTTTAGAAGATCCGTTGAAAATGAGTCTCTCTCCTCTCTCTTCTGACTAACAGCAGCAGACGTAGGGTGTACATCGACCGCGTTGGGCGCATTATTTACACTGGTAGATGACGTTTTCACAACCGGTTTTACAATTTGCACTAGTGGCTTCTCGGGTACATTTGCTACTGGCTTCGCCGCTTGTTGCTTCGGTCCTACTACAACTTTCTTCTTTTGCAATAGACTAATCCTATCGACGGGCTCAACACCCCTCAACGTGTTAACTCTGTTACTTATTTCACATAGCACCGCCCTTTTCCCTTTCGATGGCACGACAACCATTGAAGGCTTCGTATTTCTAATATTCTCCTTTGCATTTGCATGGTTCACCTGAAACACACATATGCATATATGAAAGAAACTTTGAAGATAAAATTAAAAGAAATATGATATTCGACGTTCTCGTAATACAGAAAAAAGATATATACTTTTCTGGCGTTAACATATTTTTCTCAACAAACATGGACAAAATATCAATAAGAATGGAGCAGCATGTATGTGTGTCGTACGTACGGAGGAAGTCATCGTTACAGAAGAATGGCACAAACTCAGGCTACTTTAAACTCTTTCCGTTTGTATAACGTTTATAAATAAACTGAAAATACTAATGTACGACCCTCTCGGTGTTTAAACATAACGTTCCTCATTCTCGTCGACGTCGCATAAATATCGCTCTCGACGAAGGAGAAACCTCCTACGAATCATCCCTCCAGATTTATTCCCATAAAAATGAAACGCTCGCGAAGATTGTCGCGCTCCACGAGGCTCGAAAGGGCGACCGGATAAACGCGGATAGACGCTATAACGCGAAAACGTGGCCGGAAAGGCATTTAAGCGCCTTTAAGCACAGAGGCATTTAAAGATGTCAGGCATCGGGACCACTGCTGGGCCGTTGGCCGACCCACCGCCGATTTACCGCGGATTTACCGTACGCGGAATCGAGTTGTCGTGCTCACCGTGACCGCGTTCCGATTTCTCGTCGCCATTGTCAGTCGCAATCGCGCAAAGGGGCCCCTTGTTTCCGTTGCAGGCACGAATCTTCGTCTCTTCCCTCGAGAAGTGAGCCGCTTGGATCGAGCCCCGGGTTCAACACTCGTAACGACTTCTCTCGTCTCGTCGATTTGAATTTGTTTGACTCCTCTGACGGATCGCCGGCCCGCGCCTGCGCGTTCGCGGCCGCAGATTGGTCGTCAGACGGCGCCGTCTCCATTGGCTCCACATTATTAGTCCATTGGCCGAGCGGCCGCGCCTGGCAGTAGTCGAACTTCGTTCCGTTCGGGAGACGTCTCGGGGCTACGATTTGAGGAAGAAAAAGTGACGTTTTTTTGAAACAAAAACGACCAAAAGGTCCAGAGACAATAAACGAGAAAGGACGCGGTGCGCACTCGAGCTGGCCGCTCTGCGGCAATGGATTAAACGCGCGAAAAACTAGCGAAGGGAAAACTGCCTTGCATATAATAGTATAGAGGAGAAATTCTTAGATGTTATTTTGTGATCTTACCTCGCTTTTATCCTTGTTTTTCGCATCGATTCTATTATATCTTGAGATATCTCCAAATGTTTCTAAATATTTCCAAATTCTGTTCTCGTACCAAAATTCTGTCACTTGATAGGGCCAACTGTCACGTTTGCTAATTCGCAATTGATATGATTGTTTTGGAAATTAACTTCTGCGAGAATACCACGTAGACGCTGAAAAAAAGCTTGCCGTTAGTGTAATTTTGTTTATACGTAAATAAAATTATCATTTTTATGCTTTTTTTTGTGATATTCAGTCTGTTCGCGTTGCTTGCACTTTTTGCACTCAGCATCTTCGCTTTCTCTCTCTTCAACGACCGAATATATATTTATCTTATTTCAAGTGCAAAAATGTTTGGGGATTTCAAGCAACGCGAACAAGCCTATTAACGACTTGTCCAGAATCGCGAGCACGTGTTATGTCTGTTCGGAATGGATTATCGCAGAATTACTCCCTAGATAACACAATAGAATTTGGAAAATATAACTAAAGAAGAACGCTTCGAAGCGTTCTCTTCTTCTCACGATAGAAATTCCGGAAATAAATAAATAAGACGCTTTGAAGCGTTCTTCTTTTACTTCTTTCTTTACTAAAAGGAGAAGGGGAGCATTTCTAAACATTTGTGTAAACGGAAAGTTCCTATAACACACATAAGTTCCTAAGTTCCGGAAGTTCCTATAACACGTGGCCAATGACAGTCGGAGCGTCTGCTGACAGGGCTGACTGTCGGCGGCGAACAGCTGATCGTAAATCACGATTCGAGATGACAGCTGTCTACTCGCGAAACTTTTAAACTTTGCCTTCAGCAGGTGGATCACTTATCAGTCTTATCACCTTTCTTTTGCCAAGTTGTACTGTACATTTGGAATAAATCTATATCTATGGAATTAACTGAAGAACATCGAGCGCATTAGCGACTTCACTCGACTGTGTGCGACTTCTCTTGACAGATGAGCTGATGACGTTTTCAAATACACTCCTTTGACAAACGTCAAAAAGAAAGTTGAGGACCACCCGCAAAATGTCTATCAATATAGACATAAAATTGAAACGTGCGAGCAAGATATATCGCGAAGGGGTTAGATTCATTTTGGTCTATTGCGTTATCGCGTTAATTGTGGATGTTTGGGATTAAAATTGAGGTTATGTCGCAGGAGGTGGTTGCCGGTCTGATACTGTTGAAAACCAACTCGGACGTGAAGCACGATGGCATATTTCTCACCATGGAAGGCTCGGTGAATTTGCAGCTTAGCTCCAAGAATGTCGGTATCTTCGAGGCGTTTTATAACTCCGTTAAGGTAAGCATTTTGTTGCGTGCATATTGACGCGAGGAGACCGTTGATGAATTACTTGTTTTTTTATCAGTTTAATTTTTACAATGTTTTGTTTTAATATGAATGCAGCAGACTTTTTATTATGTAAATTTTAATCGTTTTCAGCCAATACAGTTAGTACAATATACCCTGGATGTTGCTCCATCGGGAAAGATTCCAAGTGGCAAGACGGAAATACCATTTGAATTGCCATTAAAGCCAAGGGGAAACAAATCCCTTTACGAAACGTATCACGGCGTCTTTGTGAATATACAGTACCTGATACGCTGTGACATAAAAAGGAGCTTCCTCGCTAAGGATGTGAGCAAATCGTTGGAGTTTATAGTCGAGGACAGGTCAAGCGCCAAGGTGGAGAAGGATCACAGTAAGATCGTGTTCTTCAAAATAATGCCGGAGTCTCTGCAAAATACTCGGGACCGACCCAACGTACCGAGGTTTTGCATCTCGGGAAGATTAGATTCCCTATACTGCAAACTCTCCGAACCTCTGACAGGAGAAGTATGTGGCTTCTTTGTCTTCATTTATCGGTATCATTCAGGATAACGGCTTTCCTCTATCTATTATGTGTAGGTAGTGATCGAACAGTGCGACGCCATTATAAAGTCTATAGAGTTACAATTGGTGAGAGTAGAAACTTGCGGATGTGCGGAGGGATATTCTAGAGACGGTAAGACTGTCATTACGCGGCCAGGTTCATGTAAAAATGGATGCATTGCGGTGACGAGAGAGATGAAAATTGACAAAGATGTAATTTTACAGCGACGGAGATACAAAACATACAAATTGGGGAAGGTAATGCTTGCACAAATCTCGCTATTCCAATTTATATGATATTTCCGAGATTATTTACGTGTCCTACGTTGAGCACGAGCAACTTCAAAGTTGGTAAGAACGCTATTACGTTATTGCATTAAAACGAAAATGCGAATTACAGTTACAATGTAATTCCTTTTTTTTCTTCTAGAATTCGAGGTAAACCTTATCGTTGTGTTTGAAGACGATTATTTAGTCACCGAGAATTTTCCTATCATATTATCGCGATATTGAAAGTTGTAGAAATAAAAATATTGTGTAAAATAGTGTGTCCATATATATATATAAATTTTTGCCATATAAAATATATATTTAATTGCCACATATGTATTTCAAAAATGTATATAAAAGATAATGTTTTTTACACATACGCACCAGTGGACGAGTTCGTTATAACCGAAGGCTTGACATAAAAAGGCTGTAAATGCCAAAAATACAAATCACAGAAAAGTTGTTTAAACAAAATTTTTTTCTTGTATACATTTTTTAAAGCACTTGTAGTTTTTTTACGCTATTTATGTTGGCACATGGAGCCTATTTTTTATGAAAATGTGGCATTTGGCAACCCTCTTCTTTTATGTCAAGATTTCAACTTATAGCAATATCAAATTTCCATAAATTTTCATTCTTACTCTTCTCTTATTCAAATCCTGCCTTCTGAATAAATAATCTATAATATTTTTCTACTTGTTTGTTCTGCGTTAGTCCGACCGAGGCTAACAGTACGACATAGCCGAGCACAAACGTCAGTAATTTGTGTTGCTTGAACCATGCCAGTAATCCCGTATTATCAGTAGTACTGAAGATGTAAGATATGTTTATAGCAATAATTGCGTGATAAAGCTCAGTTAACATTATGTTACACACAACTTACCTAGTTGAATGGAGATCTTGACTATAAACGAGCAAATAGCGTATTCTTACTAAATCGCTGTTTGTCACTACGAAGTACTTGTCCGGTATTCTTCCACCAAGTGAATCACTCAATGTATTTTGTGCGTTATCTCCTGCAACACACAACACTATTCTAGAAACTTACTCTTTAAACCTTGATACACTGTAAATTGTTATCACTCGCGTAGATACAGTATACGCTTACTTGAATCTCCTCTCTTTATGTCAGGATGATTAATAAGCTCACAGAGAGCTATACAACTTATCTCGCTTCCAAGAAGACTAGCGCCCCAACCGTAACCCACAGGACTGTACGGTAAGCTCACTCCTAATTCGCTCGAAAAGTATATCCCTTTGCCAAACTCTGACCTCTGAAACAGCAAATTACTTAAAAATGTGCGCTAATTTTTCGTAACTTTAGCGACACAGAAAAGTATAAGATGACAGAAATAATTCCAATTTATTTCAACGTCGATTTGCTGTACTTTGCACATGTTTTGTTGTAAACCGTAATGCACGATGGAATGGAAGTTTTCCAAACGGCTGCCATGATACGCATAGAACGTCGAATGATCTTTAGCGCTTGATTTCCATTTCTCTTCTGCCGCGGATTGTTTCGCGCTTGCCACTTGAAATATAAGATTTGGAGCTGCAACCGGCACCGCCAATGGCACTTTCCTCAGTATGGAATTGTACTGTAACGTAGAAACTTATCTAAGATTTTTTGTGCCATACCGTAGCATGTTCTTACGATTTTTGAAACCTCGGAAATTGTGATATGCGTACTTACACTTTCTTTCGGCACGCTCTTGATATACGAATCTCTTAATCGTAGTAATACCCAATACAATAACTCTATTGTTTCGCCGTAATTCTCGTAGGCACCAGTCTCGCCAAGCTCTTTACATATCACGGGCAAAGGAGGGACTGACTCTATGGCTCTTCTCTGTAGAGAAAATGATACGATAAGATAAATATCATATATTGTTCCATCAAATATCAGAGATATTTACCAAAGCTTCAATGTCCTTGCATTCGTTTTTAATGTACATAGGTGGAAACGGTCTTAAGCAACTGTCATAACGGTAAGTGTTGGACGCCGCCACGAAAAGGGACCACTTCAAGTCGGCAGCTCTTGGATCTTTCTCCAGTAAATGTTTCAGCGACGATATCTTTCTTTCCGCATCTTCTTCGGTCACACCGCGATCTATCTGAGACGTATATAATATATCTAAGCCAGTCTTGGTTACAATCTTATTCTCCCCTGGAACCTCATATTGTCCAATCTGCCTTGCTCTGGCACCTTTAGATGCCTCGTGATTTTGATTAAAGTACGCCATTGTTTTATTTATTAACTCTTATACCTACAAATATAAAATACATTGTGTTATTTTGTAATTAATTCATAGGAATAATACATATCGTTTCGTGTTATTACAACACATTATTGATAAATATAAAAAATGTCTGAAATAAAGTGCAAGAACCGAATATGGTAAAGTTTTTCATGTTGCTACATAAATATGTAAAACTACAACTTTACAAGTCATTAGCACGTAGTGGTATCAAGTACAACTTAAGTACAAATTATACCATTTTCAGAAAATAATGCATAACGACATAATACATAAACATTATGATCGTTTCGCTATCAATTGCAAAATTACCTAAGCACTCGCACAAAAGGTAGAAAAAAATAGCTCGCAAAAACAAAGTATAAGAATTCAAGATAAACGTACAGGTATCACTAAAAGCTATATTTACCATGCATTAACGAAATCGTGCAATGACGCACATAATTTTTATCTTTTCTATTGTCCTTAAATTGTCCTCACTAACATAGTTGGGCATAAACAATAACAGCGAAATTATTGTGGAGTTCACAACATTGTAGAAATAACAAGCATTTTATCTGACTGAAAACAACTGTTCTACAGGGACATTTAATTCCTCGCCTGCGTAAATATCTAGTAATATATATTGTACTTAAAGGCGCACATAGATGACGCGATATATCAGATTTATAATTCACGAGAAGAGAGCTACAAATAAAACTTTACTTTTAATAAAAAAAAATATATGTATAATTCACGATGTAAAATGTTTATATACACCGATAATTCGTCGATAATTTATTAATTGTGTTATATAATTACGCAAGTAGCTAATAATAAACTTTACAATAACGTTTAAACAAAAAAAGTTTAAAGGGAGGAAAAGGAATAAAGTACAATATTTTACAGTAACATTACAATTTTGGTAACGCAAATTTTACTGGAAAAATATTTTGTAAAACATTGTCGCAAACAGTTCATAACTTGAAAAATTCAAGTTTGTAGACTATCGTCGAAATTAATATTTATTTATAATAATAGGAATCAATCTCTGATTATTTTTTATTTGGATCACTACTTTTTTTTACAGATACATTTTACAATTAAAAATTGCTCTCTTTTTCTCCCTAGCTCTCGAAAAATACGAACGTTACAACCGTGCGACTGATTTGTCATAAAAGATTATCTGTCTCTTTATACACTCACAATGTCTAGCATTCATCTTCCTTGATCCTTGATACGCAACCTTATCGCGCGCTAGAAACGATCAGCATTTAACGAGCGTGGAGTTTCTCTATTCAGTGTGGATTTGCTATTTCGTTTCACAAGAAATTTTACCTCACAAAGGAAATCGCGTGAACATGTTCCTAATGTTTTTCGTGACCTGTCAGACCTGTGCCATATACATTCGCCTTCCGTTTGTTTCGTCGTCTTCATTTATTCTCCGCGGTGCATTTTTTGGACGTTTAATTATCAAGGCACGCATGGGAAATGTGTGTCTATTGGTATACGCACAAGTTCACACATTAGGGGCGTTAGAATAAGGGGCGTCGTGGGTTTTAATACTTTTAATGACCCCGCGTGTATTACAAAACTGTGTGGAAGGCTGACACTGTACATATGTACAATTTAAATTTGAATCTTCGGAAAAGAGAGAGACGGAATTCAACGGCGGATTTCGCGACGACGACAACGCTAGAATCATATACTCGAGAAATTTCGCGTTTCCCTTTCGAAAATACCGGTACTATGGTAGGTGCGCGGCAGAAATAACATCGCGATGTTGATATCCTTAAGGTCTCTACCTTAAGACGAGATTTCGATCGCGCGTTATTGCAGGCAGGCCGTATCGCGGATTTTCGCGTGTGATCTCGGGATTATGCATATAAAATGTCGCGGTTTCGTGTGGGTACGCGTTTATTACCGGTTAGCACGAAAGACACGAGCGGCAGTTTAGCGCCCGTCTTACATCACGTCATCGGGGCGTGCGAATGACGTCGCGCGCGAATGTCGACGAAATGGCACGCCTCCTCGTTTTACGAGGTTTTTCGGTCCTAACGCTTTTAAAGAAATCTCGTCGCGAGAAAAATGCCGATCGAACGAACACGCGTATAAAAATGTATTTGCGAAGCAAGAAGAAAAAAAGAATAATTCATTCAGGCCGAAACGTCATGTATGTTACACGCGGGAGTCGCGGGACCATTAGTACGTCAAGACATGAATTTATATGCTCCGATAAGCGCCTAATTCACGTTGTTGAGGCACCAATGACTGTGGCAATGACCCCCGTGCATATGTAAAATTGCAAATAGTTTCTAAATAGAGACGAATATGATTTTCAGATTGCGATATCAATGGATCGGAATGATCGTATCTGACATTGCTGGGGAGATCTCTTTATCCTTGCTCCACTAACGTAAATACTCGTGCACAAAGTTCTGGCGATACGAGGTGAATGCTTTTCGTCGCGCAGACGAGAGAACGTTGAATATGGATGGTATTAGATCGCTACATTTTTCATTAGTCGTGAATTTAGAACCGTAGAAACCGTTTATCGTATATTTCTAAAATACCGGCACCTTTTTTCCTCAAGGGTATAATGACTTCATAAATATCGCCGTGTATATTAATGACACAAGATCGTGATATGTTAATGGCGCACTTTGTCCTCCATTACGAACGGAAGGGTTATACGCGCGCCGCGGGGGATACTTAGAAATAATCACAGTCGCAGGGATATCGACTTCATATCTTTCTATTCGAACACGAAAGCGATCAATCCGCCGATACGACGCACGTTAAGTACGGTGCGTTCTAACTTTAAGCGACACTTTTTAATTTTAGCATAATTCTACATTACACACT